GGTGATGATATATACGAAGTGAAGTTCCATGGCCTTGATGGGGATCACCCCCACCTAAGTCACCTCGACCGCTCTCGAATCAAGAAATTACCGTCTTAGGGAAGCTAGCTAAGTATTCCGAGTGTGGATGATTGAAAACGTGCATTGGGGAAGTCGATGCAATGGGACGGGTGCTCATCGGAGTAAACAGATAAGGGCTTTACTGTTGGGGCAGCATCGCAAAACTGAACCTTGTTAGATCGATGCGGCCCAACATATGTCGGCCGAATATCGAAAGGAAAACCCCGAGGGTGAGTTGGGAGTCAAATTTAATCGTTTTAAAATGAATTGTCACTCCTGTGGTGCAATTCATTCCACGCCATGTAGTGACTTTTTCCGAATCGGCCTTCGGTGAGTTTTTCTGTCCACTTTTGGATGATTTTCGAGGAGGCTTTTCCCTGGCTGTGACTTCCCCAAATTACTGGAACATTCCGCAGTTACACGGGTGGGGATTTTCTAGAGTTTGTGATCATAGATACTGACTGCCTCCAAACGGGAAACCAGAAACGGAACTCTAACCCGTACTGGAGCCTAACTCAGCGAAGAGGTTAACGGAGATGCAACAGATGCCGGCGCTGCCCACTCCACTAGGTTGTGGAAAGAGCGGCGTATTCGTGAAAAAGAGCCAAAATGTCCTGAAAAAAATAGAATTCTACTAAAAGCTTTTCAAAACTGCCTACTTTATCAACTGAACTCGACAAGGGGCTCGACAAGGGATTTTTCCAGTCAACCAAAATCGCCGGTGTTTATTATACCCACCAAGGCGGTAGAAAATTCCCAACAAAGAACTCCATTCGATTTCACGAGGCATGTCACGATGCTCGGGATTTTCCGAAAATTCAGAGACTCCTTAAAATACCGTTAAGAGACAAATTTGAACTGCGAGAAACCTCCACGTAGTTTCACGAAATCTCTAGGGATGCCCAGGATTTTCCTCAAAATAACGAAACCCCATAATAGTTAGGTATTGGCAAAGTTGTACCGAGAACATCCTCGGACGAAGCCTAGAAGAGACGGAGAGAGAAGTAGATGATGAGCAAGAGAGGTATAGCGCTACGTCAGTATGCGCGACGAGTTATAAACGTTTAGGCGGTTTTATTTTACATCACCTTACCTAAGTAGGTTGTGTCAAGCGTGGTTGCTTGAACCAAAGCTTGGCTAAGTCCTGCCATATGTGTAATTGGCTCACCATACTCAGGCTAACGCGTGGCCCTGAATGAGATAGTCACTAATTGGATCACTACTTAATAGCCGAGTCTCAGCTGAGTACTACAGAGTTATTTCGGATGGCTTGGCCGAAGGTTGGCTGCCGGAAGTAGGTAGAGCATATCTGGCCCAATACGTCATGCCAATGACGAACCAAATAGTCATTGTCCATTCCTCATTCAACGCTTGGCTAGTACTGGGAGGCTAAACGCCGATATACCAATCTTGGCCAACGTCTGGCCAGGAGTGGGCTGTTGAAGAATTGGTAGAACATCACTGGGCCAATGTTGTGTCAGACAATGACGAACTAAACACGGGTGCCTTATTGCCATGTCAACACTTGGCCTCACTTTTAATTGCCAGGAATTTTATTAAGTCAGAATATGTTTCGCTAGTCATTACTAGACCAGGCTTTGCAAGAAAAATAAAATAATAATAATAATAATTTATTATTACTGTTTTCTTTTTCTCATAAATGGAATCGCTGAATGATCCTCGAGGGCTTTGACTTCATGTCGAAGACCACCGAACAAGCTAAGCGATACAAACAAGTCCTAATCGCTCTGCAGTAGAGATCCTTCCAACCAAAGGGTGAGCACTACTGCAGTCCAAAATCATGCTGTCTAAGTAGTCGAAGAAACGCAAGAATGATCGCCTTTAGCATCACTATGACGGGTAGGTTGCTCGGGTTGAGGCTCCACGCGCCTGACAGCAATCTGAGAGAAATGATCACGCGACAGCCGGCGTGGAATGACGAACAAATCATAGCCCTGCTGCTAAAATGTGTGTACTCAGGGTGCATAGTGCACCGCAAGTTCCGCATCCGCGCCGTATTTCTTCGCTGCGCCGGCTGACTATCCACCCAACATTGCATGAGGTCCTCCTTGAGTTCCTCCGACCAGCTAATCCTATCGACAGCCAAGCGGTTATCATTGTTGGGTCCAGATTTGTCGCCCCACCCGACTAATCCATGGTCCTCATCTGAAAGGGAGTGGCTGTGGGGGGCTGTGTTGCGACTCGTTGGTAGAACCGAGTATTGGAAGTTACGGGTAGTTAGCCCGCAACTAACGTGACTATTGCAACAGTATTGGACACCATGCTGCTGGGCGATGAGTACGCCAATTTCCCTCCGCCATTTATTGCTGTTATTCACATTTGTTACATTTGTTTACATGTTGTGACACTTTATTACTGTTATTATTATTGTCCTTATTATTGTTATTCATTTTATTTTATAATCAATAATGGTGATGATAGCAATAACAGTGTTGCCAAAAAATAATGGGTATTTTTTAAAAAGGGGTTGGGAGTTATAGCTTACCGTGGGAAGGTTTGATGAGAAAGGGAGGAAGGGTTAAGCCAAGGAAGCTTATGTTAATGGATAAGTAAATTATAAGAGGGTAGTACATTATAATAGTTGTGCCAAGCTTGGTGATTGGCATGCCAAGCGTCGGCCATGGGTTGACCCAGCTTTCAATCCCTACTTGGGTAACGGCTCATCCGATCGGCATCGGACGAACTTCACCACCAAGGGGGATTATTCACGCGCATTCTCCCCATACTGCCGAGTTCCACAGTGTACGCAGACCGCAATATTTCCGTTTTAGAAAACGGGAATTTTTTCGACGCCGTTAGGATGAAGTTCTCACTGAACGAAAAGCAGAGCGGAGGGGGGGAAATGCTCGAGGCCACGACGGTATCTGCTGCCAATAATACCGGGGAAAACTCGTTCTTTGACTCGAGGGTCCTGGCGATAATTATCAAGGATGGCGGAACTCTGGCCTTACCGGAACGTGAGTTCCGGTGGATTAAAAGCAGAGGTGTTGGCGTTTCAGCGTGCCAATCTCTCCCCGTTCAAATTTGGATGGGGGAACCAAAATCTCATAACTTTTCTCGAAACCCCTAATACCGCAACTACTCCCACCCGGTTGATTTCCCGGAGATCCATGGACACCACTGATCTCTATATAACTGGATAGACTATCCCTATGCCCCCACTACGCCGACACTGAGGCAGTACTGTAGGACAAGCAGCGCCTCAGAATAGTAGTTCGAGTACTACAGCGCCCTTGACTGCGCATGAGCATCACCCAATGGAGGGCTTCTCCCCTTCCACTGAAAACTGCGCTGAGCATGCGCACTTGATAGAACTTTAGTTCCCGGACTACTATTCGGAGGCGCTGATTGACTTTCAAATCGGCCTCACCAGGGCTATACGCGATAGTCTATCCAGTTATATAGAGATCAGTGATGGACACTAATTGAACTTCCTAACTTGATAATCACGTGACAAATACAAACGATCACGGCGATTCAGTGGGGTATTGCTGGTAAACAGCCTTACGGGCCGTCCAACTCTAAAACGTATCTGAAATACTTCACGGGTCCCTCTCTTAGGGGTGCTGGCACTTGAAGACTGTACATCCGGGGAGATTTTGCAAACCCATGAAACCATAAACCCACAACGAATGATAACTTTTATTACCCCTCTGCATGAAGCGATTCACAGGCCATCGCGATGTCCCTATAACTAACCCCTTTATTGAGTCCTAATATCCCTTTAATTCTTTCTGAACTCCTATAATGCTGGAACCCCCTAAACCGTATCCACACTAGATGTACCCTCTGGCTGGGTAGGGATAAATCGAGATGTTCACAAACCGCACACATTAAACGTGAATTTTGGATTACTATCTTGACACTTCCCCGGGATTTCTAGAATCGCCGAAGGGTGCGAGATCTGGGGCCCAAGTGTTTAGGGCGTAGGAGAGCTGCGAACAGACAGTAGCACAGGATGGGTACATTGAAACACTCGCAGTTCCTCTATGAGACTTCCTGTCACATAGCATAGGCCTCATACTGATGTATGAGCGCTTCGATTGGGCGGGTATTCAGACGGCTGATTCTTCGAAGGTGTTGTTCAAAGGGGTCAATGACGACGTTTATATTCGGCGCGATCCAGGAGATGTTAATGTCGGGGATATTCACTCTGCGACAATGGCACCACATCCCGGCATACGGCAGTCCAACCAGCCGTAGTCGAGAGTGGGGGGCATTGGCACTACTACCCAGACTCCCCAGTCACTCGGGAGAGCCGCTTTGTCTGGCTCCCAGTGCGTACCACTGGCAGCTCTGTCTTGGGCCCTTGATAGGCTCCCAATACCTCCCAATCCCTTGATCTTGTGTTCTCTGGGCGAGGGTTATACTCTCCCTGATTAAGACCCATTGATCCACGCATTGTATTATTTCGCGGTCTAGACTTCGGCTTATTGAAATTGCGTATCCGTGAATCCTGCCATTCGCCATCGGCTTTAGCCTCTCGCAGGCAATTTCGTCGGTACTTAGGGTATCATCTCGTCCAAGGGTTTTACGGGTTTTTTGGATTTTTGGATTTTGCGTTGTAGCGAGGACGAGTTCCCAGTCGTCTTGTCCCTTTGTGCTATTGTTATTAGATATCTTTTGGATTTTCGATGATTTTCGGTATTGTGAGGCTTACTGACCTCGGGTAAAGCCTACCCTACTCTACATTCTTACCATTGCTTATGTTTTCGTCAGCTTTTGACCTTCAAAAAGGTAGCTGGCGCTCCATTAAATCGGTTGGAATAGTAGGATGCGAGTATGGGAACGGGTTGAGGTAATAACTATCCTCGATCTCCGGAAGGAGATCAGAAAAAGTGTTACACACGTTACAACTTAATCTTAGTATGTTTGTTTTTTAATGATAGTGTAGATGAAAATTTGATTTTTCGACAATTCTAATATTTATTATGAATATGCTAAATCGAATATAGTAAGTCCAAGTACGGAATATACGTTATTGCATTTTTTTGTCTATATTTTCAGATTTTCATCTGAATAGAATTTTGAAAGTATTTAAAGAAAATTGAGTGTACCATAGAACACAAATATACGACATTTCGTCCGATTTTCGGATTTTCTGATTTTCCTTGAAAATTATGTAGAATTATGCGTATTACTAAGCACTAAGTCTGTTCCAAAACTCCCCTTGATTGAGCTAGCCATTTTTCATAAATTGTCATTCCGTCCTGAATACTTTGTCGCAAATATTTCGAAAACTATCCAACAGATTTCAATTTTTCATCTCTCAAAATATTTATCTCGATGTACTGTATCGTAACCCATCAGGATATGTATACTCTTCCATACTTAGTATTCGAGATATTTTAATTTTTTTTTTGAAAACAATTTTCAAAGTAAAATAATGAAGGCATTTCCAACTTAGAGCCTTTATCATGGGAAATTTTTCATAATTTTCAACGAAATTTTCAATTCGACACATCGTTAATGCAAAAATTGAAGTTGAAAGAGTGATTTTTCAAGAAATGATAGTATATGCAAAGAATTCAGCATTTTTTCGAGCCGTTCGGAAGCATACCATTAATTCATTATCATATGCTTACAACCTTTGCTTATTTTATGTATTGTACCGTGGTATTTCACCAGTTTACTGTTCCTCGACCGTTCCGCGTTAATTAATTCACTTCCACCAGGCGGGATGTCAGATGGCGAGTGTCCTGAGAGAAAAGAACATTAGATTAACTTTATTTATTTTTATTTTGAATTAAAATGACCATGATTGTTCATGATAAGTAAATTACTGATTGATTTTCCCCCGCTTTCCTTGTCTAACTTTCGACACGACTCGCATGATCAGCACGTTTTCAGAATCGGTGTTGTTCTTGATTTTTTTCCTCTCCTCTGCATCCCTCCCAAGGTCTTGTATATTGTGTGAAGATGGAGAAAGAATTTGTTCACATTTCCAGAGTGTGACTAGTCTCCCCTCTCCCCGCCACTCCATCGAATTAACTAAAATATCAATATAAAAAAATAGTCATAATCTAATAACCGATATTATTTTTTGAGCCATACGCTGCAGTTTTTATTGAGGTGAAGGATGAGAGGTCGAATGTAAATGTACTAACCACTCCGTCCAATTTTTTATTCACAAAAAATGTTTCCCGCTTTGACTTAGATTGCTGATAGGTTTTCTGACTAAGGTTCCACGTAGTCGAGTAAAGTGCGCATTTTTTTGAATGCACTTGGGTGTCGCATTTCACTGCAGGAATTTTAGACCACACTATTACAAGGTACTATATCATCTATAGGAATTTGGAAATTGACAAGACTTAGGCTGAAAATTAAAAAAAATGAGAAAAACCATTCATTAACTTTGTATTTAAAATTTTCAATGAGGCAATCGTTAACCACAAAAGATTACTACATCACGTTTTCACCAGAAAGTTTGAAATTCCACCGTTTGTTGAATTTATTCATTAATATCACTAAGTTTAGTGGTGTGAGGACGAGGTTGTATTCGTCTTACCCAGCGAAACCAGTGTGGCGAGGAGGTGAAGGAGTTTCCTGTAACCACAAGACCCGCTTGGTCTTCTCTAGCACACGTTGGACGATTACGTGGGTATTGATTAAACCCTCGCAACACTTTGGGAAAACCCTTCTGCCTTCTCCTATAGTAGAAAACCAGTTTGCCGCTTACCCTTGCGTCTTCAGTGTGGGTCGTACTGGCAATTAATATTATTTATCGGCATGTTCATCGCCTGGTCTCATTTAACTAATATCCCCACTCACTCCTTAACTCGAGGCAACTACTTCGGCGAAAGTCGGATGCCTAGGAAGCACGATTGACCAATGCTGTTAAGGCAATCTCATTATTTTATTGAAAGTAAGAATTTTATGACAAATAAATTTGTTCTTTTAATCCGAAATGAAGGTATCGTGACGTCTTTCGCCTTTCCCCACTTTTCTGGACCAAGGTATGTTCATCTGGAGATGACGAGTAAACCTACCAACTTTTCACATCCTAATTATCTAAACAGGCATCCCAACATGTTCGTTCTAACACATATAATTTAATAATACGACTGACAGTTTCTGACCAACTGAATGTATAATACAATGGATTGAACATTTTGATATGTAAAATTTCCAAATTTTCCCGTTCCTAACGCAGAGAGTGACCTAAGCTCTTTGCAAGATTAAAAAATCTTCTTTCCCTATGAACTATCTATTTCAATACGAATGTTACCTCACCAGGTACGACTATCCACGTCCTCTCCGTAACAAGAGACTGAGCAGATATAACTGGTTCTTTAGAATTGAATTAGAGTTTCATGCAATTTAATTGGCCGCCTCCTTCCTACAGATCACTTCCCCGAGCGAAGGAGTTAGCTCGAAGTGCAAGTTCTCTTCCTCCTCTCTTAACGTCTTTTTTGTCTACGCCCTGGCTTCGCCTATACACTTCAATCTCCTTAAAGAACTATCGCAAGGATCAACTCCTGTCAATGAAGGGTATCGTTTGTGTACTATCTATCTGAACATTAAAAAATGGTCTCTTTAAACTCTCCTTCAATTTCGATTTATGTTTATTTCTGAATACCATCAGTAAAGCAATGAAACAAAGGGTCTTGCATTGAATTCCAATTTGCCTTGTTCCCATTAAATATCCTAATGAACTGACCATTATTTGAATGTGTTGAATTGAGAAAGTAGTGTTCGATTTATGTGTCAGATCGACCAATACTAAGAGCCTACTCGGGAATCTTGTACGTACTTGTTTTGAGAAAAGAGAGTGTCAGTACAGTAATTTCTACGTCTTTCGATTTCAAACTCGCTGCCCTACTATTACTCCTACTAAAAAATAACTATAGGTCATATCACGTTCGGCTGAGGTTACCAGATTTTGTACCTTATCAGGTGTCAAACGGCCAGCCTATGTTAAGTTCATTATACTATGAGCATGATAGAGCAACCTTATAAGGACCTAATCCTATCAACATCGAGTTCCCCCATTTAATGAATCATTGATTTCATTAATAATTGGTTAATTATTCATCTAGGATGACATGGATACGCTATGATGGAATATATTTAACAACTGACAACAAAAATTGAATTAAAAAAAAAAATAAAAAATAGAAATATATGCTAAGTCGGCATCCGCTACAGTGGTCGCCAATCCGGTTATTATTCGAGCCCATGGTTACTTAGTTTTAATAATCGTCCAAGTTCTCTGTGCCCCAATATGCCATGCTGAAATTTTTTCACTCAAGGTATTTGTACCGTCCACATAGACACATTTTTTCAATTATCTATGCTGTGTGCAGTGTATCCGATTTTAACAAGTGATTTGTTTTTTTTTATTTTTCAACAAATGTTTATGAATTTTTCTATTTTTTTCACTTTTTTTTTTAATAATTAATAAAGTCAATCATCGTAATTAAAGCTTGGGTAACTAGTGAATTGTGGTTGACACTTTGACAATATTGAAAACAAATTGATGAGTTTTTTTGGAAATTTTGAAAAAAAATGAAAATTGAAAAAATCACAACTTTTTTTTAAATTTGTGGAAATAAAGAAAATTTTGTGTATACACTTTCCGAAATCGATGAAATTATGAAAATTTTTTAAGCATTTCTAGAAATGAAGAAAACTCCAAGTTTATATCAATACTTTGAAACTTTTTGAAACTAACTGTATTCTGTATTTAGCTGCCCAAAAAGAAAGCGTTACTCTCTCATATTAGTATATTATGCAACACGTAATATATTTTTCGACTCGTGGGATTGTAAAACTCGCCTTCGCCTCGTGTTACAAACCCCCCACGAGTCAAAAAATATATTACGCACGCGTTTCATACGAAATTTTATGTCATCGCGCCCGGAAGCCGCGATTTAACCGAGCGAAGCGAGGTTAGAATCGCGCGATTACGGGCACCGATGGCATAAAGATTAATGACAAGACCGAACGCGTGCTTCGCGCGCGCTATTTGCTTCCGTTGTGTTGAGGATGGCATAGCCAATTAACCAATGAGAAATACAGTTACGAGTGAAAAGTCTTACGCATGAAGTTAGCCAATCTTACACTCGGAGAACTTAATTTTGGTGTATCACCTTTTATAGATAGGAACTAAAGTAATTTATATTGCTGAGTGTTACACTAACGTTGCTACACTCAAGCCGAAAATTAAATATCACTCGAAATATTCACAACTTAAAGATAAGAGTTGACTGTTTATAATGATTAGGATTTTCACGATTAAGTCAAACGAGATCTACGGCGCACTCCATGTGCCGAATTTAAATTTCCTGGTTTCCGAATTAATTAATATAAGGAATCAGTCTTAGGAGTTCTGAGATATTTTCACTCAGGCGAACTTCATTTATGTGTCTGTGCTTTCATAATAACCATTATATTTTGGGGTTCCGATTTCAAGTCGAGCCTTCTGTCGATAATAAAATGAGTACACCAACAGACAAAAGGTCATGATTAGAGCTGAAACTTATTTTAGTTATAATCCTTGTCGAATCAGGTGTGATTGACAAAAAAGTTCTGACAGAATTATTTATAGAATGTTGTGCACCAACTGTTGAAATTAAAACTGGACACCTTGAGAGCATTCTAGGTGACTCCCTCCCATATGTTTCCTTACCGAATCCTGTCTCTTTTTTTTATTCATTTCTTCGGAGAGACTTGAAAACTAGAAGGAGACTTGATTAAAGACGTGGCTAACTTTCTTTAGTTCTGAACTATAGCCTGTCATCAAAATTCAATTGAACGTTAACAACGTCGCAGTTTAGAGAGATTCGCATAGTGGCGAAGAACCTAACTTTTTTTGACCCACAAGTCAAGTTCCTATTTGACTTTAAAGTTAGCGAATCGCAGCGTAGCCTCGCCCAGTGGATCTGTGGTTCTCAATTCAGTGGTTTTGTAGTAAGAAAAACCGTTTCTCTTAAATTTTTTGTGAAAGTGAAGGGCAGGGATGAAGTCAGGGGCCTCCATATCGGGAAGGGGTGGAACAGATAGAATAAACTTTATTGTTCGGAATATTGAACAAACACCTAAAGGAGTAATTGAAAGCAGTAAAATACAATAAAATAAATGAAGTGAAGTGGAGTAGAAATAGAGCCATTGGGTACATGTACGTCACTAAGGCACATCCTCCTTCTGCAGCGAACACCACCTAAGAAGGGTTTTAAAGGCCTTACGTGAAGATTGCTTTCTGATGGAAGCTGGGATGTCATTCCAGACCACAGGTCCAGACACCGTTAATGCAGCCTTGAAGCAGTCAGTCCTGAAACTCGACACCACCAAACATCAGGGTCCCCACGGCCAGTGCCTTGTACCCAGAGATCGTCACCCAACCCGCGTTGGGCGGCAGAGATGGAATCCGGTTACAGATTTCACAGCACGATTAATCATCCGCTGGAGCTGTCCGTCGAAGACAGAGCCAACCCCCTGAGAACTGCCAAGCAATAGAAAACGTGGAGGAAGGTCAGGGCGTTGATAAGCAACTTGCGTAAGGGTTCATCTTTCTACCTGCGAAGACTGTACAGCTGGTACAAAGCGCCTTTGATCTTAGAGATCCCCAAATTCCTGATGCTGCTCACTACTTCAATGATTGAGCCATTACTGCCAAGGTCGATGGCCATGATGAGACGCGTGGCTCCCACAACAATGGTCTTGGTCTTGCCAACATTCAACTAAAGTCTATCTCCATTAGCCCAGCCCTAGATTAGGCGAACATCCTCGTTGAGACGGGTAACGGGGAAGATCATTAGTGTTCAGTCAGTAACGTGCTTCATTAATCACACCACCAATGTCATTGATGAACAGGAAAAACAGGCGTAGTCCAAGGATGGAAGAAGTCTTGATATCGGTGAGAAGGGAAACGGAGGGGATCCTTTGGGTTCGGAAACAGTTCCAGGTGGCTGTTTTAGTCTGGATTATTCCTGGCAATTGATACACACTTGAGAACTGCTGTGGATACACTTTCAAGTTCAAGTGTGGGTTGGGGTGAACAATGAACGATGTTCCAAGTCGAGTTTTAGGTCTTTCAACTGTTCCTGTCGATTGTCCATGCACAGGGACTATTCCAAATGGACGCTAATAGCTAAGAACCGGTCCACTGAAAAGTGTTAAGTCCGGAACTCGTCCGGGTACATCCCCGGACCTCGGTACGGTTTCGGCTAAATATCCTCATCAGAACATGGTTCCGAGATGACTTCTAGGGTCGAAAATGGTTCCGGGTGCTTATCTTCATTTAAGAATGAATCCAATTATTCATCCGTTCCTATCTTCCTCCAGTTTTCTGATTATCAATCGCAGACTTGGGCTTGGTATCCGTGTATTCGGCTCTCCCTATTCTCCATAATTTTTATTTCTAATGAAAAAAAAACTATTCCTCAAAATATGGTCCAATCAGCTGAAATGATTGATTAACATAGCAAAATGGTCTTTAAGGTTTCCTTTTTTCGTAATGAGAAAAAAATCGATTTTTTATCATTTAGATGTTTTTTTACAGTAGAAACTAAACACTACTTCTGATTCGTCCGAAAGCATATGATATCATGGATCGTAATTTGTATAGAAATGCCATTCATAAGGAAAATGATGTAAAAAATGTGATTTTTCACATCAAAAAGCATCTCACTACTGCAACATTATAACAGCCTTCAATGTCGCACTATGGATGAGAGGATTCTGCAACCGCAAAATCCACGGGATTTTCAAATTCATCCAGTTTCTTGAGAATATAGCCCCTCTGAAACTACACATAATGAAATAAATTTTGATTACTTGGTGAAAATAACTGAACTAAAGACTGTAACTACACTATATTATTCTAGTTACAGTGCTTTTTATCACGGATAAAAATATCACAATAAGCACACGTCGAAAATATCACAAGCAAAAATACCACCGACGAGAACATCGTAGTTCAAACATCACAAAAACAACACCACAAACGAATGGAACTCAGAAGAATGAATGTCAGAAAGGAAGAAAGGCAGTCAGAAGAGGTCAAACAGGTGCGAACGGTTTTGAAAGTAGAAAGAGGAATCCTGAAAAATCGTTAACTGAAACATATCTTGATGTTTATGAGAACCTGATTTCTTCGTGAATGGACCACTGCTCTCAGCAGGTTATAGTTTTAGATTAAATGCAGCACCTTTCAAGAAGACAACGATATCGTCAGCATTATACGATTCCACTAGAGCTTTCAGAACGCAATTACCACATACTTTCTGCGACGAGGTTCTGCAACAACGTTGTGAGCTAGTACATTGGACATCATGAACTCAAGTAGACCATGTTCGATCTTCTTGGAATTGATGAAGTGATGAAGAGCAGCATTAGGCACTCGAGCACGTTCATTGAACCCTGGTACCAGCTTTCGAGTGCATTGTTGGTTCGTGCTACATGGCAAAGTGGAGTTGGTTATTACGGGTTGACAGCGGCACAAACACATCGAACTGTTACCAAATTAAAACGGGTAGGCAGTTCTACGGCAACATTTTCGAGTATTCGCTCCAGCACTGAACCAACAAGTAGACTGAGAACTTGATTCGAATAGTTTGCTTTCTTCTTCAATTCATTGATGACCTTCAGACCTTCTACAGCAGCAACATCAGGAGTATGTTGATGATGTCTCACCAATGATTGATCCTGTGACAAGTAAATGAATAAGTCCAATAACGACGGGCATAGAAAACCTAATAGACAAAACCATACCTGTTGTTGGACTGTGATATTTTTGTTTGTTAATATTTTTGGTTCATGATCTGATGGCTGTGATCTTTTTGTAGATGGTTATTTTGATTGTGATAAAAAGGCCATGATCGATTAGCCGGTCACTATTATTCCTTGACTACCAATTGATGTCATAGTCGAAAAAGGTAACCATATCCAACAAATGATAAACATAATTCTTCCATATTCTGAAATATCACATCTGAATTCTGAATCATCACATATACACATCGAGTAATTGAATCTTCCTAGTGGTGCCCTTGGGTATCAATATCCAATAATTCCTTATTTCGAAGAATTTCGTCATGTACTGCTTGTGGGCAATATCCGCTCCACGAATCTATCAACAATGGGCCTTTAGATCCGACGTACGGGAGAAACACTTGCTTCACCCAGGTTTTTAAATCCACCGAAAATTTTAGAAATTCTTAATTATTGTTATTAGTGTATAGAAACTGATATTTTCCGTATGCATTCTTCATGAAGTAAATTTCTCTCATTTCAAAGCCATAACGAAAATATTCGACGGTCTGAAAAGATTCTGTTCCACTACAATTTGCCATCGGTGGAAATTATGGGTTGTATTATGGCTTACTACGTATAGTGGAAACGACCAATTGTACAAAACACGTGACTTGTTTAGTATCTTTTTCAGCTCATGCTTGTCCTGAATGAATTTTCAATTGAAAACCAGGAATTTTTCGGATTGCTCTCGCACAGCTTCTCGGTTCTCCAATGTTTGCCGTGTTACAGTTTTGTTAATATTTATGGTGTACCATTTTGAAACGAGGCAACGACCACAGCGAAGCTGTGCATGACTGCAGAACCGATTTATTTCGATTTCATTACTACTGAGTCTTTCTCTTCCAGGACCTCTTTTCATCTAGCAGCACACGTCAAAGTTTCATTATTTTACTCTTGCCATTCAATTATTAGTTACCATTTCGGTTCCTCATGTAGTACTTTCTTCTCTTCAATTTTAAGAGCAGATACCGGTGACTATCCATATTAAAAATTCTGCTTTGACTATATTATTTTTCTGTTGAAGACAAAACTTCGAGAATTGAGTCCACAACGAACGTTTTACCATACCTCCAATTTATTCTGTGCCCCTATTCATTCAATCTCAGTACCCTCCTGCACTACGAAGGTATTACCGAAATCGACGAATGAAGAACAATTTGTATTATTTGAAATAGTTATTCTATTAAATATATTGAAGACTTATCAAAGATGTTACTAAAATTATTATGAAATTCTCCTCCATATGTCTACTCGTTGGGGTTTTAACCATTTCATACCCGCAGTTTGAATTACCAACGGAGAAGCACATCTGCCTATCTGATAATCAGCGTCCCCGAATAATGTTATTAATTTTGATTCTTATCTCTTTTATTACAGATAATATACGGTGATGATGGGTATCGGTTGAACACACTTGACATCGAGCAGGCGGTCATCTTCAAGATGCCAATTTTTTCGAAGGTCTTACTGAGCCCACTGCTGCTAATATTGATCATAGGTAGCAGTCTGGCCTTTAATACCCGTCAAACAGGTAAATTTACTTTATTCAATCTGATTATACTGGATTTTATGAATTTTTCGATCTTCAATTGTTGTTCTTGCGATAATATTATCATTTTATTCTTCATCTGTGTACACATTATGCACATTGTTCATCTGTCGACTCTTACACATTGTTCCAATATCATTATTCATTAATAAAATTGTAATACATTGGAATGATTTTTTATAGCCGTAGCGAATAGTCAGTCAAATCTTAGCCCACTTAAGTGAAACTCTACACCATCGTCGTCAACACTGTCGTTTCCGTAACTCCGACAGTTCTGGACTGACCAAAACCATGAAACCCGAACGAAATTCCGGGAATAATCAACAGCTCATCCAACCCTTAAAAATGCTTTCAGCACATCAACCGATTATTAGCAACGCGAAACCGATCAACCGCAACCGTAACTTCATCGAAACTTAAAACTAAAATTTCGGAGATCATCCCCAGAATGTACTTTTAACATAAACACACCTCGGGACTGTGGAATTACGAGGATACGAGATTATTCGGTTGCTAGGTGCGTAGGGCGTGGAGAGAGGTAGATTCCTGGAAGAGACGATCAACTACCAGTGCGGAAATATAATCGAGAAATCGAACCTCGATCTGGAAGTTTCTAACGAAAGTGGTTAAAGTGGATGAAATAGAATTTGGTCAGTAACATGGTAATAATTCGTTTTGTAAATTCTTTTAGATTCCTTTATTGACTTCTTTTCCATTTGCTTCCCCAGCTTGTCCGAGAGAAAGCTTCAACCTTTTGTCGAGGATCCAAAATAAGTACAGCACAATATACCCAATTGGTTTTATTATAGTGCTTAACTATTTTATCTCTCGCGGCTGGAAATACCTCAATAAAGGTTTTATCGACTTCGGTTCTGTCTTTCTTAGGGTTTAGTTCGAACGTTGTAGTCTCGATTTGATCTAATAGCATGTTAGCTGCTAGAATGACTTGAGGTAAAGTTATATATTTACCTTCTAAAAACGTCGAAATACCTTCAAAGTCGTTCAAAAACTCATAGATGTAGCTCAACAGTGACTATTCATCTTCACTGAGCTTGAAATGAGATACTTCACTAGATTGGGGCCAAAGTGAAGCGAGTGCTTTCTTCATTCTTAAACCTTGGCCAATCAGATGATGGGTGCTATTCCATCGTGTGCTCACGTGCTCACGTCAATTGTTGGCTTCACGAGTTTTCCTTCAGCTCCTTTACAAAAACTTCTCAGTACATGTTGGATTTTCTTTGAGTGTCGAATGTTCTTAAAAGTTTTCCCCAAATTTGTGATGATAGTGGTATCAGGATATGCGTTAATGTTGTTGAAGTCATGTTCTTCGATGAAAGTTTTAGTCGCTGACGTAGTATCGAACCGGAGTCCCTTGCAATTTCTCGTGTAGCTCATACTTGTCTGAAGACTCATAAAAACCTTGAGCTACCTATCGGCCTGACCCGCGTAGGAATAAACTCCAGCCTAATTGAGTGCATTTCCCACTCACCGTTATTGAAGTAGACGGTGCTGCCAAAATACGATCGACCATTAGAACTGAATTCAACCATAAAATCGAGTTAAATAATTCTAGGCTGAATCAAATGAAAATTATTCAACTCACCTAGAAGTGCATTTCGTCCATGGTTTTTTGTCCAATTCGTAGAGATTCTTCAAACGCCGATGATGGAGAAGCTGATGATAAATCTTTTTGTATTGAGAATAAAGACGCTTTCGTAAGTCTGTGGTATTTCCGTCTTTACATTTGCTAGGTTTGTCGATGCTACGTTTCTTGCCATCCAAGCAAATCCCTACTTGTCAATTATTTCTCATTCCAAATTGGTAATAAAGCTTAAATTTGGAAACGGCAAATTGATTGTCAATGTGTTGTTGTCGTCATTGAATGCTTGGCAAGTTGCCTGTGTCTCAGTTTGTCTTGCGCATTTTTTCCCTGACGTAGTAGTCCTGGCGTTATTACAGTTTACGTATAAATCACACTCAGCTTAGTCAAAGAAGGATTCAACTATTATACTGATTCTTACAAAAGAAGTAACTTCGGGTTTCGGCCCGAGCCAATCCCCCCACTCCCGGCCGACCCCTGCTCTTGCTCGCGCATGCGCTCCTAACCTCGAAAATATCACTCCGCGCGCGCCAACTTTGACCAACAGTTTCAGATAATTAAACACAAAGCACACCCAAGACCCAATAATCTCATAAAACACGATAAATCGCTCAATCTTTACAATTTAATTGAAAAAACATTTCACTCCATGGACATTCAAGAATTTTTGCCGGTAGGTGGCAAAAATAGTCCTGACGGAGGCCGGATTCGTTTCGGCGTTCGGCGGTCGGTCGAAAAGTGGGGGGACTGGCTCGGGCCGAAATCCGAAGTTACTTCTTTTGTAAGAACCAGTATAGTCATTTACGTAATAAGCGAGCACCGGCAAGTAAAGAAAGAAAAACGATCTGGGCGGGAAATGCGTCTTAGAAGCATAAATAAGTGAAACGTTTGTCGCTAGATGGTACTCTCACTTCTCCTTCGATAAAGATGAGGTGACAATTTTCATCAATCGATCAAAAGGACCATGATTGAATAAAAATCGAGTGATGACAAGGAATCACGTCAAGATTTCGACAAGAACTCGACGAGACTCTCGCGTTCCTATTTTTACGGGCACCATCTTTAATTCTCTTTACAATCGTACGATTGTTCAACTCTACGGAATGTGCCAAGTGATTTTGTCTGGGACATTGTCCAGTAATCTATCCTACATAATTCATAGATAATTTTATTATTTATGTTGATTTCTCCGCATTTTTGATTCAACATTTTTTTACCTGTCTTTACATTAGAACTTGTGTTAATACGTGCCAAGTTCGAGCATTTTCGTGAAATATCCTCCTGTGTAATTTTCTTGTACTATACAAGCTCATACTTCGAGATCCTTAGAATTTAGACACGTTTGTTCTAATTATAAACGAGATCTACTGCGCACTTCGTGCGCCGAATTCGAATTTCGACTTCGGATTCGAGTTGACCAATAAGGAATCAGTCTTACGACTTTCGACTCAGGCGAACTTCATTTACGTATCTCTGCTTTCATGATAAGGAACCATTAGAGAGGTTGTTGGTCGACTTTTGAAGTGGGGCTCGTAAGTCTGCAACCGGCTATACTATAGAAAAGGATTTTTTTTTATCAGCTATTGATATTCTCTGAGTCTGTAGGTACCACCAGGTTCCATCAATAGATTATTGACATGAAAATGTGCAACCTAGACTTGGTATCTAGAGCTGTGTGAATTTTGGAGCAATCTAATACTTTTAGCGATATGCATAAGGGTACTCAATGAATTTAAGACCACTTGAAAAAATAACGCCGGCCAGCCTCGATTCATGTATCTTTTAAGAACCGTCGTTGGGTATCCGTACAATGAGCATTATATAAATACTACAGAAAAGCTGTGTTAAAGTTGAAATTTTTTATCATATGTGCTATTGAAATACTTACAGTCATGTATTTCAAAAGTGCAAAATTCATTCTCTTTTCTTATATTTTTCAGAATGTGCATTTCCAGTGAAATGGGAAGGTACCTGGTTCCAAAGTGGTGTGAGGCAACCAATACTCATATCCAAAAGTACGCTGTCCAGCAAGGGCAAATGTTTAAGGAACGAAGGTGATAAGTTCCTCGTCGTGGACGAGTGAGTACAAATCAGTTCAATGAGACTTATAGTATAAGCAATCAGGCATAGAGTTTCACTATCAAATATTTACTAATTCGATGAATAATTTCACAATTAATTTACATACTCTATGAATTAGATATTCGGCAGGTATTGAGTTACAAATTATCTGATTATTAAGTACGGAAGGTGTCCCATTGAGTCGATCGTATCATAAGTAGTCAGTGCTCGTGATATCTGAGATGGGTATAGATCTTCAAAGAAATGGAGTCCGATTTTTTTACACTGGACACAAAACTGTAGAGTGGTTAGTTTATGCGGGGCCCCAAGTTTTAGTGGAATAAATACAAAAAATTGATAAGCACCCTATTATTGCATTCTAAGAAATGCTATTTATTACAGCGCACAATTGAGAATAGTACCCTCAATAATGTGTACAAAAAATTCAAATCATTAGGACAATAGTGTTATTGTGCGCTATTGCATCTTCGGAAATTTTCGGCGTACAGTTGGTGAACAAATCCAAAAAGGCCAAATGTGTGATCCCTCAAATCTGTGGATTCCGGTTCTTTGCATTTCCGGGGATGCGGACGACTGCCACAAATCTTACATTGTCGTTCTCTTTCGCTGAATAAATTGTCATCATGTTGACATTCAAATGCGAAAATGAAATTAAATTTAGCTCAATTGTAATTGAACCGAGCGGACGGGTTCGTTGATAGGGTGTTTCAGTAAATGAGTGGTTTTGGATAATATTTCAATCTCAACGTAGCAAGATTAATAACTGAAATCAAAAGGGTATTTCTGTTATATTAAAAGATTTGCCTGTGAGACCTAGTCAGGTGAAAATTTATGAGCCCAACGAATGAGAACAAATTTTTCGGTAGGGACTAAACTGATTCAAAATTCATTCCACGTGGCTGTTTATACTCATAAAAGTCAATATGTTTATAATAAATAAGTCACTAAGCTAAACACAGTGAACTCCAACTTGAGTTGAGCGATCACCATAGATTTTTTTCGAGCAGTACCATGAAAACGTGATTAAGAATTCCGAAGAAAACGATTAGTGAGCGGTTTCGAGAACAAATGAAAGAGAGGACCACAAGGTTGCAGATGATCCAATTTGAAGGGGTTACGCTACGCCAAATTCAATGGCGCGTGATAATGTAGAACTGTTCGTCATCTGGCCAATAACGACTTGTTAATTGAGCAAATGTTCATTGAAAATTCAGAAATTTTTATCAAACATATTCTATTTACTCTGTCGTTGGATAACGGAGTAAAAATTCCGATGCAATTAATTATTCATTTGTTTTTAATAATTTTTCGACACTTGTCGATTTTGCCAATCGTTTGTACTATTAGATCGAAATTGATCTTGACAATTCTAGAAAAATTAAAATAACAATTTTCATGCTTCTTTAGTGAATGAGTAGAACTAATAGCGTGGAAATTCTCTCTGAGCTCCAGGTCTCCACCGCATCATGTCCTTAATAAAGTTGATGTGCACACCCACGTGGTCGTTCCTAGCTGATGTAACTTTTAATTACTGATGATGACAGCGTGGCCAGGAATCCATACAACTTCTAGGTGATTGCAAGCAGTGATCTTCCTTTTGATGAGGACATCATGTCAGTGCAATCGTTCACTAGTCGTGAGGCGTTCGCATGGCTGAGCAGTGTCCTCAACGCACCCCATACGATCGAAGCAGATGTTTTTTTTTGCCTCTATCCTGTCTGTCCAAGATTAGCATTGCGAGAGCTCTCAGGGTAGCTATTTGCGTTTGGAGGAAAGTTGCGAGTGATTCCAGTCCGATGGCTTTCCTGGTTGAAGGCCCCTCCAACAAAACCCGCACTCCGGCTCGGTTATCGGTCCTGGAGCCGACCGTGTAGCAGACTAGCCCCTTGAGCAGTGCCCACTTTGCATCTTTTTATGACCGAGTTTCCCCGAGCCAATGTTGACCTTAAATGCTCTATGAAAGCGCGCTTGTGCTCTCCATGTATCTCCCTTCGGGACAGTATCTCCCTCAGGTCTACATCCGCAGGAAGGATGGCCGTATAACCACCTTTAGCTCCTTTCATATGCCTTGAAGCGGCAGCCTTGTAGCCGACGTCTTTGATACTGAGATGAAATGGCTGAACAAAGAGCAGTGTCTCCAGCGCTGCTGTAGGGCTCCACTGCTCTCTTAGTCAGGCCTTGCTCATGGCCTTGCTCCACCAAACAACAGCGGTGTATGTTAGCTGTGGGATCATAATGGCTATGTAGATGTAGACTACCCTCGCACTTAGACCTCATGTGCTTCCAAACATTCTTTCATGCCTAATAGGTCATAATGACCTTGTCGCTCTGCATAGTGGCAAACTTTTCCCAGTGAAATTCTTCTCGAGCCATAGGCCCAGATGTTTATCTCCAGGCACTCGGTGCCGTGCCATACATAGAAAGGGGTTTTACATACTTCCTCCTTGTGTTTCTAAATAGCACCATCTCAGTTTTGTTCGGGTTGACGCTGAGTCCATGAGGGAGCACCATTGCTGAACACATCGCTGAGCCCAACGCCTTTGGCGCAGCAATCTTGCCATCCAGCATGCTGTCATTCCTACTAATTATAAGCACTGTCACCTAGTCTCCCTACACGAACGCCTCCACACCTTTCAACCCCCCAAGGCGGCCATATATCCAATGTTACTGGAGTCATACAAAAATAATCCCCACACGGAGGCCGTTGACGACGAGAAGTTACAGCAGCGGCAGAACGACATAGCAGAGTGACAGGACTGTGTGCAACCCTTGCCGCTAGTGCGCTGACAGTGCCGTCATTAAGGGAGGAATGTACCCTTCTTGTTAGAAGCATGGCTGCTAACCATCGGATGATAGGTTTTTTTATGCTAAACGATGTTGCCGTCCTCTCGTTAATGTGCCTATCAACGAGTATCTCTAGTGTCTTCAGTAGGAAATAACCCAGACTTATAGGTCTGTAGATCTTGTACTCAGTTTGGAGATAATCACTCAATTCTGATCTCCCACTATCTCCTTGGCACATGTCCTAGTACCAAACCTGTCCTAAGTACTGGCAATAACAAGCGTAATAGCAGTGGAACTCTCTTCTGCAGAAGTGCCGGGTACTCCATCGGGTACTCCAAGCTGCGCAACTACTATCTTGGAGACTAGATTCCAATCGAACCTTTTCTCTTCTGACCGTGTCCAGTCCGCTTCAGGGCAGACTCTTCCTCTTCGTACAGTCGAGACTGGAAAATGAACCTGGATCAGGTGTACCAGGATGATAGTCTTACCATTTGGTCGCGTAATATCACCCACACCTTGCGTAGGAGAAGACCTAGCGAAGGCCGGCCACCTGCGACAGCGTTTTGAGGCACTCGTACAAAGTCCTGCATACAAATGCCTTTTCTTTCCTTATGAGAATCATGTACTCTCTATGTGCATTTTTATATCGAGCTCTCATCCTACTTGGAGCGGGAAGCACGGTTCTTGAATCGTCTGGCCATGCTTCTCCGCCTTCCTAGTCTTCGACTCTACTTTGTCACCTTTCTTCTCCTTCCTGCAACGTTTGATTAGGAATACGCTCTGGAAAGACTCGGCTACAGCCTCATGGATTCTGCCCACCAGTTCCCCTAACCTGCCCATGCTGTACGGTCTGATGGAAATGTTTCTCAGCTTTCCCTCCAGATTTTGTTCTAATACAATCCCAGTCGGTGGTCTTGGGATTGCTTCATGCACATTCCTGCTGGGAGAGTGCGACCTCACGCTCACTCTCCAGTCAACACATCGTTGCGCCATCCTACGATCGCACACTATGATGTCAATGAATGATTGGCATCGCGCGACTGGATCCCTTGTTATGTATGTGCAAATCCTCGTCTGTCAGTTATTCCAGTAGGCTTTTGACCTGGAGTACCTAGGCAGATCCTGCAGTTCCTTGATGAGTGGCGGCGCGATAAAGTCATACGGAAGATAGACAACGCAGAAGATGATTTCCTCGCTAGGTCATTCCCCCCCGGCCTCATCATTACCACCACCAAGTTTCTGCAACAGAAGTTTGTAATTCTACTTGCCCCGCCAATTCAATCCAGAGCGACTAAACCCTCAAAGCTCGAGATTAGCCCGGTCAAGTCGCACCCGTAAATTGCGTCCAATAGCATACAGTTTACGTCTCTGTCAGGGTATGCTACAGATAGCGGGCCGGCACCATAGCCCTCCCTTCCCCTCTTCAGCAGGTATGTTTTCGGTGATTCCTACCAAAGTGGCACTTCCCTCTGGCCCCTCTGCCTCCACCATCGCCGTTTTCTGCATCACTGCCGGAGTTTCAGAAGCTAATTCGCCCAGCCCTCTGGACACTCCCAATGTTCCCTTTAAGAGTAAGCCGCCCTCGACCTTAAAAGTATTATTTAATATTTTTTAAGATATATATGAAGTCCCACGAGTACCCAAAGAAAAACGAGTCCGCTCCAGCAGAGTTCAGGTACTGGGGTTAGACATGCATATATCGAGGCAGCGCCTGATATATATGATTCCCTAATGCCATTCAGCCTTTAGCACGATAGCTCCCATCTTAGCTTAGGGAGTTGGTCTGTGATGGTGTTAGAGCGTCCTGTCGGGCAGCTTACTTACGTTTACTCCTATGACCATCGTTGACTAGGTTTCGACAAAGACTAGCGGATTGGAGACCTAGATCAAGATCCAATAACGGCATCTCAAATTTTCCCTCCGACCGCTCATACTTTCCCAATAATTTGGAAAGGGAACGGCGGAAAGTCCCACGACGAATTTCCGGATGAATCCAAAGGAGTAGTGAACGTTTGGCTCGATAAAAACAAAAAAGACATAAAAAATAAAAAATATCAGAAAAAAAATGTATAATCCACTTTCGTTCATCAACAGTTGACTTCTCGTTTGGACATCTGAAATACCGGCAAACGGTCGAAATCCGAGAATACCAGGTTACAAGATATACAGAGAAAATAAAACAATGGATTTTTCGCCGAATGTCACATTTGTAAGAATGATTGTTTAGTGTAGTCAATTTTTTATCTCTACTCTTTACCACATTATCTTTTCCTCTTTGTTGCAGAAAATCATGCTACAGATGTGTTGTGATACATGAGAAGCACGCCAATGTTCTGCAGTACAAAGAGAGTAAGTTATATTACTTGTATCGTTTATTTTATTCTTGTGAAATTTTTCAATTTTATTTGTGAAATCTACTGTATTGAATGTTACTGAATGGAGTTCTGTGGTAATATTTTCACAATTTTCAAAAAATCGAATTTATCTATGAATACATGAAATTATAAACAAATATTTCTATTCAATCGATTTTCGTTTGGTAATCACTAAGTAAGCAATAAATACAGCTGTAATAACGTGGCATTATAATCTAGCATGACTTGAGGTTTATTGTAATATTTGAATATTTCCATGTTCATTCTAAACAAACATAGGGCTAATGTTATGCGATGAGATGAACCAATCGAGTTGGATCAAGAAGCCAAGAATAATAAAATATTTTCCAATGACAATTAGTATTGGAATATGGGTGCAAGTGAATAAATAATTTTTAAGGAGCCTTTTAATACTGGATAAGGTATTCTTTATTAGCACGAGGAAGGCCCGTCATTACTAGAGGAGAGTTGTCCATTGATGAAAAACTCAGCAAGTTTTGATCCCGTTCATCGAAACAAAAATAGTCCAGGTAGAACCAGATGTGCTTCTCATCCAATCAGTTTGAGCTTAGTCTAATGAGATGTTTCGTGATGAGAACTTTATCAAGTATGGATCCAGTCTTCCGAATCCCGCAAAAATACAAACTATCCGTAACTATAGTGGTAATCACGAGTTTTTTCGGAAGTGGAGTGTATTTATGATAAATACATCTTCAATATAATTATGAGCATGTTTTTTCTCATGGGGGGGAAATTCAGTGGAATTATAAAAATACAATGTCTACGGGAGAGAAAAACTGGATTCAGAGATTTTTTTGTATTGGTTCTGTATTTTCGTGGTTTCGAAGTCTCATTCCTCTCAATACCGGCTAGCATACTGAGTACTGGAAGTGCTGGAAACCTTAACTTCTCCTTCCACCTGGTCAATTTCGGCAACTTTCCTTTAGTCAAGTCCGTCCCAATTTCATCGGCGTTTAAGGATTTCACGTTTCTGCTTCTTTGGTAAATAAAAATCCCCTGGCACCCAACGATCTGTTATAGGTTCATTTTTTATCGGCGAAGAGGTAAAAAGGAAGGCAAGGCGAAGAGACAAGACGCTTGGTTCTAACGATCTACCTATAATTGAAAATACATAAAACCTAATACTCGAGAATTATGTCCATTGATATCTGACGCCGTATCCTGCTAGATATCAATCATCATATTTCCCACAATTTTTGTAATTTCTTAATTAGTTACATATACGCGGTAGACGAGATTTCAAAAAGGTTTGGTACTTCTTCAGAAATAAACGTCCGAACAGATATTAACATGTCATTTTCATATTTAACAGTACTAAATGTCGAGCTGTAGAGATGAAAACCATTCAACGATTTAAAGGATTATGTAAATCGACGGAATTGTCAATGCGTTCCATGAGACATGTAGTCCAGTGAACATGGATCATATTATCATGTAGTATACATGTTATTTCCTCTCGAGATTATCAGTGGTGATTCGTAGAACGCAACGAAACATAGGCGCTTACTGACAAAAAAAACTAGGAACCCGTATGTTGGTGGGGTCCGGAAACGCACTCTTTATGGGTCCGTTAGTAATCGTGGATTGCAATCGATCTAATCAATTGCATGGGTCACATCAATAATTCCTCGGTTTTATTCATTTGTCTACAGTCTGTTTATCATACACATGCATGGATTCCGATTAATAGATGAAACATAATAACTAAAAAAATATTCTGTCAAAAACTATGACAAAAAGAAATTAATAAATAATTTTACAAGTAACGTAAAGTCTACGTAGCCAATCACTAGTCATCATGTTAGGAGATATCGTTAACCAACATTTTCGGAGTGATTGCAATAACTTTCTGTTTCGGAAAAGTTAAATATATGCCAAAATATTGAATCCGACATGAAATAATGTCTATTTATTTCGATTGTTCCAGCATTTTGTCACCCGAGAAGCTCCTTGACGCTGCTGTGCTCATACATAACAGGAGATGCTTTACTCTACTCGATGTTTCGAGAGGAAGCAACGGCGGTGCCTTGTCCTTTTCGTGGCCCAATGACATTCATGTATAATCGAGGTCACGGTACTTGTTCAAGTCCGCTCAGCAATGTTGACACCTGTACAGATGACAGTAGATTACTATTTAGGTATCAGGCTTGTCCAGATGTACCTGCTTCAGAGAGTGCAGGTGAGATATCTCAAAGAAAGTGCACAATTGCAACGTAAATTGTAGCTCTATCAAGCACGTGCTACTGCAGCCCATCCCCCAAAAAAGACCACTCAACTGTCATACGATATGTCTGTAAATTTCCTTTTTTACTGTCCAAATACCTTTATTCTAGCCACATGATCCATCTCATTTCTGGAAATTTTAGAATTCATAAGTGGTTCCACATATGGTTCAAAGCGCTAATTTTGCTTTATCTTATAAGGAATAGCAGATTGAGAAAAATCTGTTTTCATCACTTAAGTACTGAAATTTCGTAAACGCAAAAGATGACCATAAAAATATAGCGAGCACATCTTTAAATTGGGTTAAAAAGCACCTCATGTTCATGATGGCATCAAGGTGCAATTGGGCGTTAGCTTAACTTTAAAAATCTGCTTAAAATAAAAGCCAGGAAAGAAAAGCAAATCAAAAACAGGAATGCTTCCCAAGGGGAAAAATCCGCAAAGAATGAAAAACGATTTACTAAATGTTAAACTGAAAGGAAAGAACGAAAAATAATAATCATAGTAGTAGACGAAGGGGACATAATCCCCGACCTGGTATAGGCAGAGAACCCTAAGCGTGGAACGCAAAAATTCGAAATGAGAAGTCGCAAAAAGGACAACCGATTCTTTGATATAAAGAAAGGAAAAACGGTCCCATGCGGCCAAAAGTGAAATAGTGCTGTGACTTGGTTCTCTGGGAAAAAAATTAACCCAAACATGATTAAATAATAAGATTTGCCTAGAGCAATACGAAAAAAAATAATGGCGTGGCTGGACACCATTTTACCCAGAGGCGACGCTCCAATTACAGCGTAAGCTTGGACTACCCGACGTGTGCTTTGCGAGCAGATCGTACTCGGAGTCTGCACGTCGATTTGCAATGCGAATATATGATAAATGTCTTTCGTTGGTATCGGAATCATTTCTTTAAAAAGTAGTGTTGAAAAGATACCGAAGAGAAGCAACAAGAAATTAAAACCAAAAATCGGCAGAGAAGAAATGCCCTGGTGAAAACATACGCCAAGTCTTGTAATAGATAAAAATCATAAGGACTGTAACGCGATTTTTCGCGTTAATAATAATTTAAAATATTTATTGGAATAAATTACGCTCTCTGATGTACCGATTGGGTCCGCCAAATCCCCACGCGTGGGAAGTTGAGGTTATAGTACTGAACCTCAGCTTCCAATGAGACTCCTCTGTCGGAACACTGGGTTCTCCACTCCAGAGAACTGTTCCATGTTAGATGGGGCGGGCATTCAAATGGCCAGGGGTCTAGATAAGGGGTTACCTGGACGGCCTGGTTGGGGACATTTGAATTCGGCGCGCTCCAGGAAACGTTACCGGCAGGGATATCCTCGCGGTGGTGATAAGTACCACGGGTGATCCCCCACGCACTCCAACCGCGTGAGTCGGGAGTGGGGAGCACAGCTACTAGGGAGCACTCTCCACTCCACACGTCAGAGTTGCTCCGGCACTCTCACGGGCCACTCGGCCCCGGGCTCTGATAGCCCGTAGCTCTCGATGATTAGTGTGGCTATATAGCCCGCCATATCGCTTTACCTATCGCTATCTCTCTTACAGCCATGAGGCTGAGCTAACGGAATATAGTAGAAGGTATACCTATACCTAGAGCTCTCGCGATGCTAGCGCATATCGGCAGCTATCGGCGTTCTACCGCTATCTAATTACCGATCGCTCTCGCCTCTATCGACCTGACCTGCTATCGATCACCCTACCTTACCAACCTTCCGACGCTATCGGGGACCGACCATACTAAAAAGAATTCCGACCCTCCCTCCATAACCTAGCATACTGAGCGACCGAGTGCTCCCGCACGCGTTCCACCCTTACATCCGCCCCTCTGGCATTTCGCGGGAAGTCCCCAGATGTCCTCACCGAGCCCCGGAAGGCGACGGTGACGACCTCTGGTGACATACTTATTTTTGGCAACTTATCGGTAAAATCTCGGTCTTTCCTAATTATGTCCTGAATAACTAGGCGGAACTCTCTCGGTATTTCCTAATTGTGTCCTTAACAACTAGGGGGAACTCATTGTTTGTCCTGTCGCGTGAATGGGCAAACCCCACCATTCTGTCCTCTCGTCCGTATCTGTACTTTGTGGAGGTGTTAACCCCCACCTCCACCGGATTTTCGGTCTTTCCTAATTGTGTCCTCAACAACTAGGCGGTATAAATGGTATTTCCTGATTGTCTCCTTAACAACCAGGCGGAACTCTGCTTTGCTGTTTTACCATCTTAAAATAGCTGGCGCCCTCCCAATAATTGCGCGGATGCTATGGACCCGGCGAAGGTAACCAATTCCCCGGACTTACGGAACACTCCGGGAAAACATCGTTACAGGACATCCGAAGAATCAAAATTGATCAGAAAACTCGAAGAGAAACGTCCAATCCGGAAATTTGTTATCACTATGATTAAAACAATATCGCAAACATATGGCAAAGAGACTCATACAGACCGGGAGTGAGGAGGTCGATAATGAGGATCCCTTCCGAGTTGACCCCATAAATCAAAGGATTCGTAACCCCGACAGTGACGACGCTCGGATCAAGTACTCAACCAATTGGAGACAAGGACATGGATCTAGAGAATAATGAATTGAGATCTTGCTACCAGTGGTGTAAGAATCGGATCAATAACCCAATCGAAAGCTTTGTGGGAAAGAGCAAGGACAATTTTTGAAAAATGAGAATTTTCCGTTAATCAGAAGAAGGTGGAGAAAGTGGCGAGGATGAAGAACCAAAAGGACGGAAGCCAGTCGTGATAATCTGTTTATTTTGCACCGTACCGTGTTCCGTGTCCTGTTTGATAGTGAAGACATTTAAATTAATTAGCAATTAGCTTAGCGTCTTTATCTTTATGAAAGAATCAGGAGAGCCGTGATTATTCAGGAAAAATTATCCATTTATCCCGGTGTGGCGTACCGACTGGGTAGAGCCAGTCGAGAGAGCCAACACTACAAATTATGTCTCAGAGAGACACGTCTTTGACTTGCGTCTAAAGCGCAGAAAGCGATTTGCAATCTAATTTCTCAACTCTATAAAGGGGAGAAACAAACAGAGAGCAACCGTTTCTTCGTCCGGGAATAGGAGGAAGAGGGCCGATAGCGGTGAGTGCACGGTCTTGTACAGCGGGATGGCCACTTCTCAATCCTAAGAAATGAGAGAATGTCCAGACAGTACAGAGTGCGTAGGATGGCTAGAAGGTAAGGCTAAAGGAGCTAGATAGCTAGCCAGGTAGTTCTGCGCTCAAGGCAAGACCGAGCACGAACTGGTTGAGATAACTCGCGTAGGCGTTTATATAGCTGCCAGTGCAGAGTGGGAGAAGCCTCGTGTGACGTAGTCCCAAGTGCTCCCACTCTGGTAGTCGCAGTGCCACCGTACGGAAGTGCGATCTAGGCCCCGCAGTTAATGTAGAAACACTACCGCGGGTAGGTAATATAGCGAAGGCTACACCGGCAAATTAGCCAGATGATAAAATTGAAACTAGGGTTCCAATGTTTAAATGGTTAGAGTGGCGAATTCAATGTTATATTGGAAGTCAATAATAATTAAAGCAAGTTTCTACCGACATCGGTAGCTCAGTGGCTTAGGTGTGAGCCTAGTAATCTGAAAATCGAAGGTTCGATTCCCCGTTGAATCGAATTTTTCAATAGGCACCGATGAGCGGGAGGTGAGTAATAGAGAAATCGCCTGTACCGACATGGTTTTTTTCTGTGGTTTCCCACATGACTCCTATGTTTCATAACAGGGCTGGGTAACCTTTGCTTTGAGAGCATGTCCTGCTCCCGTCCGTTATTAGTGCGTAACAAAGGGTAAACGAGAGCCTATTGTATAGGGGGATGGGCCTTTACGACCCACTGTACCCCTGTACCCCTGTACACTACTCAGTGCAGTTCCAAAGACCAGCATTATCCCTAATGATTCATGTAGGTATGAGAATATGAATAAGAGTGCCTCTCTTATCATGATTGCATATTGTTGATTGACTGCAGATCGTTGTGCATGAGATACGCGTCAGATTTCATGATATATTAAATGCATTTTCTGTATATGTGCGATAAGCCAGGTGTCACTTTATTAGTTTGATTAAATTGTTTTTCAGTGGAGGAATTGGAGTGTCTTGCAACGTGGAAGGAGGGTAGCAGTCGTTATCTGGTTGGTCGATTGCATCATGGCCATGCGTCGAGCAATGAGGAACGTTATCGATGCTTTGTTTATGAACGTGCAGGACAGACTGTTGGTGGTATGGGTAGACCTGTTCTGGGAATGGCAGCTATTGACCACGAGGTTGGGATGCCGCCGAGTGGTCCATTACCAGCTGGTATACCTGAAGTTTATCGCGTTGCCCAGAGTGGTGATGCCACTTGCAATGGTCTTTTCAGCCCTATGGAGGGTTCACGTACGATGACCTTGACAAAAGGTTAACTTTTGATGCATATCACATTAGTAGTTTTTTAATTGATTTAATTAATTTTATTTATCACTCTCGGAAAATTCTATTTCGTTAGATTTTTCAATTAGCCATAGTGGACTGACGCGCGATAGTTGTACATCATTCTACATAGCAGCTACTATTTTTGGAACGATCTATGGAACAAATTATTCTATAATATTTTTATCAAATCATTGTCAACCATATTTATGTTTATATTATATCATATCTTCTTGTGGCAATTTCGACCGTCTTTATAATTAATTCAGATTTCAGACTCAAATAGGTCCAACATAACTTCAATTCCATCAGGCGTAAACATGAACCTATATTACGGTTTTCGTTAACAGCTTAACTCATTATATATATCACTGTGTGTACTGAGTTTTGCTATTTTGAAAATGCCCCATTTATTGTTTCCAATAGCAAGGGCGTCTTCTCTTTTATTCCTATTTGGAGAAGATATATTTTATTCAGGTAAAAACCCGTTTAAGTCATTTCACAATGATCCCTCAATTCTTTGGCAACATTTCAAGCTGACGGCGCCGCATATTTAGTACCAAATATAGTACCAAATTTCTTGTATCCCTGCATCGAGATGATTACTTCTCAACATCAAAAAAATTAGAAGAAAAACTGAAGTAGCTAATCTATGTGAAACATTCAAGAGCTTTGATATGGTGTATTTGATATGTTAGGTGAATTAATAATTTCACCTGTGCCCGCGCGCCGTGCTGCCTATAACGTTATTCAAGTCCGTTCATGTTTCGGCTGCGACCAATTCCATAAAGAGGAAGCCGGAAAGCCTCTAAATTCACTGGCGAGATAGAGTGGCTATAGGTTAATGTGCTTCAATATCGGCATTGAAGCAAGAAAATCACTAGCATTGACATCGTAACACCAGCCAGCCTCGGTCGGCGGTCTTTCATGACCGTTCCACCTGTAAATTGGTGCAAAGCCGATAAAAAATGCAGAAATAAAAAAAAAGTAGATTGTACCGATCGCCAATGAGAGAAGAGTTTGCCCCACAAAACTTGCGGTGTCCTACTTTCTGACCTATTTTTCCAACAGCAAAGATTGGTCAACCTAATTCATCTACCACCATTCACTCCCACCAAACCGCTCAAATAGGTTGGCAAAAAAGTGGCGAAAAAAAAGATCAAGGAAAATTATAATCAGATAAAAACATGCAGTTGTTGAAAAATAAAAGGGTGACAGGCACACGTGATTACTTAGTCTAGTTGTTGCTAGACTCGGAGTCTCCTCACCGGAACAGAAAGAAGAAGAGTTTACCCTCGGTGAATCTTTAGATGCAGGCCGTTCTCGCAGGATGATTGTGAAGTTGACGAACTCGGTCGTTCGATGCGAAGATATAAGTGCTCCGGCTTTTCATTTGCCCATTGAGAAGGTGTGGAGCGAGAGGTTCGGGTAATGCAAAGAACAAATCCAATTTCCTGTTTGACCAGGGATGACGGTACAGCTGCTCGTGGACTTCGGGTATCGAATTACTTGATGGCTCGTTTTTATTCCCGATTGATCGAAAGGGTTGCAGACTCCAGTTTATAGACTATTCAAATTCGAGTTCAGCGCTGTCAGGTTCTGTGGAGCTGCAACTCCATACAAATGCTGCTTTCAAAATTACCACTTGATGAGCCCAGGCCCATTGTCGTTGCTCAATCGGGTTTCTTCTGGCTTACGCAGCTCTGGCGTAGCAACTTCTTGAAATTGACTCGTACAATTTAGTTTGTCCTAGACTCACGTAGCTCAGGTGTTATTACTGGTAAGGAGGGTATCCTTGCAAGGGTACTCATCCATGCAGAGTGGTAAATCGGTCGCAGATCAGCTGTAGCATGCACATTCGTATAAAGGCATAAATTAATTGTCGGTATATCCGAGTCCATTTCGCTAAGGTAGACAGGAATGATTTCCTTTTCACTGTACATTCCAAATTTCAGTCCGTAAACATTCATTGATTGGTAATTTTTTTTCTTAAATTTTGCAATATTACCCAAGATGATTGGAAAGCAAATGTTTGCATAATCAAGTATCTTTTGGCCCTCTGAAAGAGTTGCAATGACATAATGAGGATATGATAAAATAGCACATGAGTCTTTGCTGGACAGAGAAAAGCGATAGCTGATGACAAAAAAAAGAAATTCTTCCGCATTTACTGCATTGACACCAGCTGTCTTACATTGATTATCATAGGGCAGCTCTATGTACGTTGAAGAGCCGACCTTCAATGGAACATATCGATCCCAATTTCATAATATCAGTGGATTTCCATCCCCAGTCGCGTTGTTGGAAGCAACCAATTTTTTGCAAGCAATGATTCACCGCCGTTCTCAGCAAACCGTGTTGCCAGATTTGTAGCTGGTAGAATGATTTCATTTTTTGTATTGAAATATGGAACTTCAGTAGTAATAACTTTGTATTAGCAAGCTAAGATAGTATTTGCTTTTATATTGGCATTGGCATTCTTCTCACGAATACTTTTCAAATGCACCGTTGACAATTCCCTTGCATCATTCAGAAAGGAAGTCGGATCCTTATGTTGAAGATTAATTCCAACGCCAGTGCGAATACGACTGTCCAAAGTTGAAGGCCCATCTGTCCAGCGTACTCCATCCATAAGCGTGAAAAAAACCTTCGGCCTTATCATACAGACAACTAATTTTTCCTACTCTCGTTTCATTAGAATCGGCGAACTGCACATGTGGTTTTCTGAGGAGCGCGAATTGCTTAGCAGGATACTTTCGCGATTTTTGTTTTCATTCTGATTTTAATTAATCAGAGTGCAGCTGTCGGCGTTTCCCGATACCTTCACGTCAGTTTTATTTTGACAATACCGTTGGCTACAGATGAATTATCAAACTAATAATTGCGCAGTAGCTCATTAATTGTTTTCCTCCATTTCGACAGATTTTCATGCACAATACCACGTATACTCTCAAATACCAGACTCCAATCCATTGGCCAAAATTAATTGTATAATTTCCCTCATGTTTTCCGATGTAGCAATAACAGAGATAAGGTTGACTTTAGAATGCCTCCCGTCGCGCACTTGGGATTTCAATGGGCCAAACTTGATGCTGTCCTGGCTATACAGTAAAACAATCGAAAAATTATCAAATAATTTTGACGATCTTGGGGTCTTATAACCGATAAATGTCCCAAATCACAAGACTATCGCCTTCGGTGTGGCTTCAATAGGAATCAAACGCGAAACAGTATGTTTAGGGGTTCAAACATAACAAAACAAGATGCATGTCTGTGATCCATACTATAGAGAAACATTGTTTTTCAGATAAACACTAGAGACCCGTAGAAGAGACCAATAAAATCAATAGAATATGTTTTCTATTTTTCTTGTTTCATGTAACAGCTTCGTCACCGGGAAAGTGCAGGTTCCCAAGCTGGCTCACTGGTCACAATAACAATGGCCTCACGTGGCACACTCTGGATCTTACTAGATCTTACACGTTTCATCTGCGAAATGCGAGTTTGCATGTAATAAGGTCAAATGCTACTAGGTACGACATAGCATTCCTGGATTTTCAGGATATTATCGATGACCAGGAGGAACAGGACGTCAAAATATTATGCAACAGTATCAAACAGATGAACCCAACGCAATCTACAGCAATGATTGTGGCACATTTTACTGTTGGATGGTAAGTAATTGAAATATTTATTCAATTTGGCTAATAATCGTCATTATTGTAGAATGTACATTCGGCCCATCACATTCGCCCTTTCACCTGCTTGCCTCCTCACCGACACAAAAAGCAAATAATTTAGGACCTAAAAAGGTTGCCGGCTGATTTTTCTGGCTGCGAAAACAAGTAACTCGAAAAAACCTCACAAAAATCGGAAATCGAAGCGCTAAAACGAACTTGGACCTAGCTTAGTGAAGAGATTTGGCAAGAGGTTATGGATGTCTGATCTGTTCAGTATGCTAGGTGATGGAGAAAGGGGTAAATTCGGTGAAAAGGGCTGAAATGTCCTTGAAGGAAAATAGAACCATAACGGCCTCCCTTTAGCAGGGCTAATTTAGTAATTAAAATCTACAAGATTTAAATACTGCAACGTCATCCGCAACCGCCACCAGTTTTACGTTCTTTGGAAGGACTAGCCTTAGCATGCCGTGATACAGGACATTCGAGCATGCTGAGGGGACGATACGATGACGGTTCGTCTGGTGGCTTCTTCCCTTCTGGAAGCAACACCAACCTCTACCGCCCTTACACCGTCGGGAACGCGCCCTCTCTCAGGCATTCAGTGTAGACCTCTTTAAAGAGGTTCCGCAAGGCCTGAATGATCGCCTTCAGTGCAACATTGGGAACTCCATTGAGGCGAGGGCCTTAGAATTTTCGAGTCTGACACACGCTTCCATCAGTTCCTCTTTGGTTACCAGTGGAACAATCTGCAGCTCCTCTTCTGGACTAGTTCGCCGAAAGTCGACCTGCCGAGGGAAAAGCACATAGACGAGTTTCTCCAGTATGACAGGAATAGTCGGTGATCGCATAGTTAGGCATTTAAGACACACAATAACCATTGTGGCCTGTGCAAGCTTGCGTCGCGCCATCTTATATGCGTCCGCTAGAGTAGCAAAGTGCGACATCTGCCGAGCCCGCTGCGATGCTCTCCCGGCCACGTAACATTTTTTACGCAGGAATGCGATCTCTTCGTTCCATCAGTGTACTGGTGGGCGTCGGGTGGCTGTTCGCTTCCTCGGCATGGTAGTGTCACAAGCTCTCGTTGGTCTCTCCATGAGATCCACTGCCTTCTCACTGGGTTAGGAGATGACCATACTGCCGGCATTTGAAGCACTTGGCTCTTCACCCTTGCAATCCGACTGTTCATCTATCCGATTTTGATCCTGGCTCGTTCGTCAAGAATCTTGGAGTGCTACCTGGACCTTCTCTTTGGTAGTCGCCTCATCCAGGGGACGCTTGCTCAGAACCTTTACCTCTTCACCAAGAAAGTTGGCGATGGTCTTATAGAGCTCGGGAGCTCCGTCCTTCGTCCTTGGCTGCATAAGGTCATGCAGCCCGAAGATCAGTTCTCTCAATTTAAAGAACGCCTCCTTTCTTTCTATGTCGTGGTGGATCTGTATTGATCATCTATTCACAGTATGCCCCAAAGGGTCAATCTTGGTTTGGGCCTTTTGGCCACTACCATCCACTCTTGTCGCTCTTGACATCATGGCGGCCAAGGCGTACTTCACGATACTGCAGTCACTGGATGAGGACGAATGGAACGACATTCGCACTCCCAGACGCCTGTCCTGGGGTATCCCTCCTCTGAACGAAACTAGTTTTATAATGTCCATGTCCATTGTAAATGTGTTTGATCCGCAAGAACGATTTTAGTGTACCCCTACCCTTCTCCGCCAACAAAAAGATCGGCGAGCACTGCCTTATCCGCCACTTGAGAACGTACCATGTGGTAGTGACACATCTTTCTAACGGTGCTCCGGATGCTAGGTTGAAGAGAGAGGAGAAGTGTCCACGAATAAGCGGTCTTCATGAATCGAAACCTAGACCGTGAAATAATGCAATGTGTAGATGGATGGGTCGGGACACTGAGAGACTATTTGCGGAAGTCCGATATAATTAGCATCACCTCGAGGACTGACTTACCGCGAGCGCGACATAAGATAGCAAAATGCCGGAAAGCCGAGAGCGTGGGAATCATCATACCATGTACACACTATCGAGAGTGTGACGGGCCGACTAGGATAACCCCAAGCATAGAGAGCAGTGCCAAGGAGAGAATATGGCTTTCAGCCAGGGAGTGTAATCAGCGAGAGCATAATCGTCGCCTAGAGACAACAAGAGAGGCCATTGGGAACCTACCAAAAGCTCAAGAGAGAGCTAGTTATCTGTACTGGGAGCCAGCTGAAGCGGCTCTACCGAGTGAGCGGACAGTCTGGGCAGCACTATTGATGCCCCTCACCCTCGACTACGGCTGGTTGGACTGTCGTTTGGACATGTCTGACTGGACTGTGGACTGTCGGAATTTAATTTCTAAATTTGAATAAATCCGATTAGGTAGAAGATTTACACGTCAAGGCGAATCCTAAAATATTTCTGCAAAATGATTGGTTATAAAGATCTGGTCTCAAGTTTGAGTAGAACGGTCTACTTTATGTCCAGAACATGATTTCTTGTCGTACAGTTCAAATTATATACTCTGAATGATAGAAGATGATACTGTTTGATGAGATGTCTGGATCGGTGGAAATAATGAGTGGATGGGAAAGACATAACCGGATATTCGGGAGTGGGTGAACGGGTCAAGAAATAAGCGGCACACGTGCGCTTGGTTTCACAAAAAAAAACGGCGTATAGTGTCACTAATCCACGAATCTCTCTCATTCGTTTCCGGGAATTCTAAGTAGTGGCAGCTCTATATCGCAATTCAAATCGAAATTCAGAAATCGGGTTTTCCTTATCATTAGTGACCGCTCATTTTCAGCTAATCAAAATTAAATTAATTAAAATTTTTATTCCTTGGGACATAAAGTAGCATATGCACCATGGTCGAAAAGGGTTATATCCCGGGGGTGCATAATATACTATTCTGATCTGAAATAAATTATATGGAGTTTAATATTTCCGAGATACGAGATATTTATCCTCTGTGCTTATTTCCATCTGCTGCTATTTATCTTGAATCTTCGATTTCATTTGGATAAACTTGCCATTTCACCACGCAAAAATACCAATTTACTTTCCACAAATGTCAGTAGTTTCTTTCGGCTAGTAAATATATTTGGCAGGAGAATTTTCCTTTCTCAGTGCAGGAAGGAGTGTAGTGCAGTTTTTTGGTTTTTTATGTTTTTTTAATAGTTTCAGGAGACTATAGTAATAACATCCCAGTGCCATTTGGTTAATTCAATCCATAATAGGTCTTTTGGCAATTAATTATAAGTTTTGAAAAACTCTAAGAAAGAAGAGAAAAACATTTCTAGTACATCGTGGCCCACTTATCAGATCATCTTGAAAATTTCTTAATCCGAAAGATTTCGCAACATGCCATGAGCACAATCAATTGGAAACTAAGTAAAATGATTCTTATTAATTTTCAGTCGAAGTGGATACTTGTGCATGACTTTCTATAGAAGAGATGGTCATGTAGCAGAAGTGCAAACCGGGCGAGAAGTGTCCAGGGCTGAAGATGCCTGCAGTGCACCACATTATCAATCACACAGCGTGCCCTACCTCACATTAGTCAGTAAGTGACAATAATTAAATTAAATCTTAGTTTCGCTTGGTAATTCCTGATGGGTTCACGGCAGATATTGATTTCAAAGAAATTGAATACGACATAATACACTCGCATAGTGTTAAAATGACGAGAAGGGGAGCACAGTAAAGTGCATAGTTAGACTAACTGAAATATTTTTTTTTGGAGGAAGAAAATCATAGCAGTATCTTAAATAATTTAAAAAAGTACCAATTTATGAGCTGTCCTCGGTAAATACAATCACGAAAGAAATCAGTGTTCAAGGGCCAAGTACTTTTCGTGCATTTATCAAAGAATAACGATTGTTATTTCGAAGTTATTTTGCGCACTCCTAATACATATTTAAATCATGGAAAAGTCAATTTATCATTCATATTATCATTGAAAAACGAACATTCTAACATCCAATCAAAAATATACTTACTTTAATTATACTCACATACTTATTTCAAGTAAAACGAATACACTGTAACACTTTTCCTAATCTAGTGCCAGAGATCGATGATCGATATTATCCTCCACCGTTCTTATACTTCCATTCGGAACTCAGTTGAACGCTATTCACCAGGTTCGCTCTGCTTGGTGTAGAAAAATCCTGAGCTTCACGCTCGGGATGAACTCTGTTGTACGCTGCACGACTCAGCATCTGTTTGGCGTACACAATCCTGAGCTGTCCGTTTGGGATAATCTCAATTGTACGCTGAGCGGTTCACCAGATCAGCACTTATTGATGCAGAAAAACCTGAGCCATCAACTCAGGATAGAAACCTATCACGGCAAGAAGAGCTGATTCCACAGAGTTGACCCCTTTTGGGGAATCAACTGGGGCGACGGGCAGCATACCGCTAGAAGTGAAAAGTCGCCAGTAATGGTCCGACTGTAGCTGAATGATCGCAGACGATCTGACGTGTAAAGAATCGAGCTGTCCACATGGACTAGGCGTCAGTCATAGTAACAGAGGGTGGTCGCGCAGAGCTGCTTCCTTGTAAAGTTAGGTGAAAGACGATACTTTTGAAGATCAGGGGCCGAAGATTTAATATAAAGTGACTTGATCTTGTAAACCTTCATATACTTTTTTAGCATGATTCCTCTATGACCGTTAGCGTTTCGATTTTTCATTGTTCAATGCTTCTAAGGTGTGGAGGAAGATATCTTCATATAGTTAGTAATATGTTTAGAAAGGATGCTTCTGGAGGGAGTACCCTGACCCTGATGTTACCCCCGTTGTTCCCAAGTGCGGGCGAAGTTTTTGAGAGACAAACGGAACGATCGTACATCGGCCTTTATGCAATTAATGTTCTTCTAATGTCAAAAGTGACATGTTCAATCATTTTTTTGCACCTGATGGCCCATGAATTCTTGAGGTTCTCTGGCGATGGAGAACCATTATTCATTGAAAAACTTGCGTGTAAAACGGAGTGGGTCCTTTGAGACAGGAGATCTTCCCTGTTTGCGCAGTAAGAAATTCTCTTGTAAATTGTGCCAATTCCCGGAATCTCATAACCTTCGTTGGATATGGGGTGCTGGTGACGTCATGGTCCCGGCCAACCCTCTGTTACCAATGGGGAGCACATTCAGTGCGGGTGTACCCCTATTAGCATGCCTGCACTGGCCTGAGGTAGTCTATTTCTAAGTTGCTGACGTCTTTGCTTCTCTGGGGCTGTTATCATCTGCCGTTACCTTTCGTCATAGATGCCATCTATTCCGGATACCTATAGCCGGTCAAAATCTTGGTTGTTCATGTCACTCTTTATGGATATACCAACTGCTCTGGAAGCCAACTATAAGCTGACCTGTCTGCTGATGCCCGGATAATGTGACTAGTTTACACATAGCATCTTAGACTGTCGCGGTCTTGCCTTTCCCACTCTTTAATAGGCATAGATCCATCGGAGAAAACCCTAACTTCACTATTGAATCTTTTCAACTCTCGTATCTGATCTTAAACGTGTTATTTTGTTTCCCTGCAGACATCTATATTCTTCCATGGTCTGTCTGTTGTTCCATCCTTTTCTGAGGTAGTTACTTAGACACATCAGTGTGTTGTTCCATCAGCTCATGTTCATGTTCTCAGTTCTTTTATAAATATACATTTTTCAGTTGTCACAAAATCTCTTAACCACTTCTCCAAAGCGCTATACCATTAGGTGATATAGCGAACGGCAACCATGAACTGCAACTTTCGCTTCTTCTATTTTGGCTACCGCCAACTCTCCGAGTCTAAGTTGAAGAAGGAAAATAGCTGCCATGTTTGTGGTCAGGATTCATGTCCTCAATCCCATTTTCCTTTGGGTTCGTGTAAAATAACTTTGTTCAGACCCCTGCACTCTCTATCGTCCCGTCCACTAACCACGGTTTTTGGAGAAAAGCTATACTTGTGTACACCTTACCAAATATCCTACAGTCAATAGTCAGGGCGCTTTTGTGGTGATGTAAGTTAAACTAAACGATTTCGATCCATCTGTTAGCTCACCTGTCATGTTCACTCTTCTCCCTTTTTCGTTCCTCTTCTCGCTCAGCTGCTCCCTGAGTCTCGAAAGGAAATGTTAAATTGATATTCGGTGAAGACCTAGTGAGATTTTTTTCTTAGAAAGCTCTCGAAACAGGCGGCCTGTGACTGCAACCTATCCGTCCGGAGAGAGTCGTGAGTTTTTTCTGTCCATAAAACTGTTTGTTTCAGCCCCGTCCAGTAACAAGTGGATCTCGAAATTTAGCGAGCTCTTTGGACTTTTGATTTCTTGAGGAGTGATTTTCCACTCCGAATATTTTTTCAGAATCACCTCAAGTATCAGAGTCTCACCTGCTGCCTGAAGGGAGTCATTGCCGATTTTTGCTCATGTGTTTAGTCGGTTGGCGGAAAAACTACAGGTGTCGGGCTCGGGTCTTAAGCGTTTAAAGCTTGTACACTCGCAATATTTCTCCCAACAGAATTTACCTGGGCTCCTAAAGCCTTGAGTCTTCTATTTCGTTTCGAATCGACGTCATGCCGCCTCGGTCTACTTCTGATTACTCTTTTGCATCTCAGTCCTATCTCTCTAAAACTCTCAATGGGCTGAACGTCCGTGATAGTTGATTAGAATAAATCGCGGAAGGCGTTTAATATTCAAGAGTACCGTAATCAACGTATCCCTTGGAACGGGTTGATGTCAGTTGCTTAGCTTGAAGGTTGGGAAAATTTAGTTACTCATTTCGGTTATTTATTCTCAACAAATCGGCGCTTTATGTGGCCTCTGCAGGAAGTAAATGTCATTCAGAGTCGCAGGAATGCTATTCCAGATCTCCAAAACTATCAGTAGATAGCGGGACCTTATATGTGTCAGCGCGATAATTACGTCCGACCAGGACTTGTTGAGCAAGTGCCTGCCATGTGTGTCGCCAGGACTTGACAGACATATGTTCTGAAAATTCGACAAAGGGGCCAGGTACAAAGGGCTGGCAGTGTTTACGGGCTCCATTCATGACGAACGATTATGATCACGTAATCTCATTTTTCGTCCCGATTACTCCTCAGAGAATGATATTATCTAACAATTTCACAATTAAACGTGACATCAGTATTATCGGTATTAGTACAATCTACCAAAATCCAAAGGGGCCAGTTAATAACGTCTCTAAAAATATCGGTCCCACCCAAAACTTAGCCAACCCAATCCGAGAGCGTAAGCTAGAGAACGAAAATAAAACACCCATAATTGATGGGAATATCATATCTCAGCACTTGGAACACAGCTACAAGGAACTTGTCAAAGAATATGGCAAGGAAAAATGCAACAATAGACCGTCCTAACCTACAACTTAGTAGGAACGTGAGAAACCCATAAGAGTCAGAGTGAGAAATGCCAAAGAAAACGACGAAAGTGAAAAGATACAACGAGCATCTCTGAGACATAGCCACTCCCACCCTCAGGAATAGTTTCTCCGACCTCGAAAGTACTGAAAACAGCATGTCAACTGGTGGACATGATAGGAATAACAAGGGAGCGCCTGTCGTACTTTCGGCAGGTACACAAAATCAAACATACCAATCGCCAACCAACATGAGTGGAGATTTTAAAGTCACAGACGTTCTCGAGGCCCTTTCAGATCTCAACCTACAGGAAGTTCAGATACTCAAACTATCAAAGGTCACAATCAACCGTGGAAGTAGATCCCCCAGCTCCTACTTTCTAGTGCAGCTATCCCACGAGAGCAAACTCATCAACCTCAAGAAAGACTCTTCACGCATAGGACACGCGAGTATCAACTGTGGGCTCGAATTCAGGTGTGTTAAATGTTGAGAATCCCACGGCCCTAACAAATACTCCTTTACCAAAGACGGCAGCAGAAAACTACTGAAATGTGCCAACTGTGGTGTTAATGAACACCCCGCTGATAACAAAGGATATCCATACCATAAAAACTCTATCAACGAATACAAGAGGAGAACCAATGAAAAAAATCAAGAAATACAGGAGGGAGTAGACAGAATCGCCAGGTAAGTTGATCCTAGCTTCTCGTATATTAACGCAGGTAAAGACCACCCTGCCAACCACTCCAACCATTAGCGTCTTACTAGTCAGACCACCAAACTCAACCTGTCAACGGAAATCGTCGGCCAGACACCACCCTGCCGAAGTGGCCCCAAGACTTCTGAAGAGGCATCAGAAAGGAATAAATGAAAACAGAACTAAAATAGAAAATTAAGTAGCTGAACTACTGGCCACTCATACGCAGAAGTTGCCAACTTACGTAGATCTAAACACTACTATAATCTCGCATATCCTAACCCGCCTGGGCATCTCTGTCATCCCGCAATCAAATGGCCAGTATAAACGCCTCTTAACATCGATGTCGGTAGCTCACTGGCTAGGTGCAAGCCTAGCGTTCTGAAAGTTGTAGGTTCGATTCCCCGTTGAATTGAATTTTTCAACAGATACTGATGAGCAGGAATTTAATAATGGAGCAACCGCGTGTACCAGCATGATTTTTCCTATGATATGCTATATCACGCCTATTGATTTTCGTAAATGGGATGAATTCATGCCCACAGTGAATAATATTTTTAGAATCAGAGCTAACCAATCTCTACCACAGTTGGTAATTGGAATCACCGCAGATATAATCATGGGCAGAAGCCAAGAGAACATTGCCGCTGCGCCGGAAATAAATGGGAATTATGACATATTAGATCCAATAGAAAAATGGAACGTCATAGGAGCGTATTACGATCAACTTCCCGAGACACATAAACATAGTTACCCAAGTGACAAAACTGATTGACGATAAAATTAATCACATTAAGGAAGAGGGTGCTGATAAGACAATCAGAAATGTGATTACCACAGAATTCACGGACCGTAGGACGGCGTTCAATCCAACAATTGAGCCTAACGTATACTCTTTCTTCACCACCCCTGGGCAAGTTGAAAGCATCAGAAAGATACTCCCCAATAAAGCATCTACTGGCAAGGATGAAATACCCGACATTGTCCTTAAACATCTCATAGCAGCCCTTCTGAAGGACTGCACGACAATATTTAACACCACCATAAACATAAAATATTTCTCAGAATCCTGAAAAAAAAACCACGGTAATTTCCATTCACAAAAATGAAAAACCCACCAATAATCATTCCAGTTACAGGCCCCTCAACCTAACCCTAAAGATCGGCAAAATATTTAAACAGTTGTCAATAACGTCTTATTAGTCCACTGTAAAGGTAAAGACATAATGCCGCAGACACAGTTTGCATTCAGGTATCAGCATTGCACAGCACACGCAGCTAACAAATTCTTGTCAGACCATAATGCCCTATTAAACTAAAATGCACTGGTTGGAATCACTCTGATAAACATAGAAAAAGCCTACGTATGGATCGAAGGGTTAATTTCCATTATAATGAAAAAAGAGTTTCCTCGTGAACTCATCACGATGGTCCGGAATCTAGGAACAGTTAGAGACTCTTGTCAACAAAACCGACAATTATTATGCGATATGGACCTTGAGAATGAACCCATGCAAGTGCAAGACGATACTCATCAGAAGGTCGTACGGATTCCTAAGCAGACACAAGGCCAATTGAATCGAAACGTTTCTGATCTTCATTTTCCACCCAAACATTAGGGATAAAATAAACATCCCTAGCCGCAACATGGTTAAATACCTGGGGATGAATATAGACTCCAGGTGCATAGGGTGCACCAGATACATCAACATTCAGCTCTCTAGGGTAAAAAACAGATATAAATCACTTAGAAGACTCTTCCATAGCAAATAAATTTCCAAAAAAGTGAAAATCTGCTGCCTACTGCTGAACACATCATCCAGCCAAATCGAGCAACTAAGATGCTTCCAGAGAAAATGTCTACGTGCCTGCTTCTGCCTATATTAATCAACCAAAAGTGGCTACCATAAGACGGTCAGCAATACGATTCTGTACGATGCTGCCGGAATTCCCAGGGTCGACAGTTCACCGTAAGATTGAACACCGACAACTACACGATTCAGTGCATCTCAGATGTGGACCCAGTGACCACCTCTCAGGTAGCAGTAACGGAATACATTCAACCCCACGCATTCTCATTATTCGACAGCCCGAGAGTTATTCACGTTCTGAATAACATCCCCATACTCTACCGCATTAATCGACATTCAACTAATAAGAAGCTTCCAATGAAATGCCAAGATATTGGAAGACTTCAATACACCACCTCGATCCCAGATATAGACTATATGGATAGACTGTCATCCCACAATCACATCACTGTAAATATTAGACTGTAAGATATTTATATGTATATTAAGATTAAGGGAAAAAGATGAAGATACGGTGCCTTTTTTATTCAAAATTTTTTTTGAACGGCGGGACAAAAAATATGATGTTGGGAAAGTATCGGATTTGACGAACAGCTAAAAAAGAATGTGTCAACTACATGACCTAAAGTCAAAATCAGATTGGAGTCTAGAGATACCATAAGCGGGTGCCCTAACGACTCATAATTGTTCCCATAGATACTAAAGTATTTTTTTATAGAGATTGTTTTTTACCTATAAGAACCCCAAAAAATGTTACAAAAATGAAACAAACGTTAAACAAAAAGTCAGCATTGGATTCGCTAGTATCTATACGTATGTATGCATTCATGGAGGAGTAGCAGTATGGCTTATATACTACAGACTTGCTAAAGTGCAGAGATGATTTTGGATCTGACATGATGCACGTGAGGAGAGGAAGTCAACTGGCTATGCATGAAAGCTGTTGACACTATTTACGAACTCGACAGAACAATCTAGGAGGCCAAGTTGCTGCAGGATAGACATGTCAATGGCATTGATGAAGATCCTTGTCCTGAAGATAATGGCTTCGATATTATTGATGTTAAGCTGCAGACGATTAGCCACACTCCGTGATTGACTGAGTATCTTCGGTATTGGGATTAGTAAATAAGTACTATTGATTAATCATAGTGGAGAGTAGTGACACCCTTCCTGGATGCCTAGTTATCTCTAGTAGCCGGATGTAAGCGTTTCGCCCATAAATAGAAGTGAATAAAAGCAGGAATTAATTCAAACGCAGGTATGGAGACTCCCTGTCTTCCGCCTGCCACAGACCATGAAGGTAGTTAATTAGGCAGAACAAGTGCTTCCGAACCGCGTCCTCCTCCCAATCCCTTAAGTTAAGTTAGTTAAGGGAGTGGAAATGACATCTGATAAACAAGAAAGGATTGTATTCTGGGGAAAATTACGTTACGACATCATCCGATGTCTCACATAAGAAAAGATCCACTAAATAGTACGTAAAAACTCCATCATTCGCGACCAAAAATCGTGCTTCATCAATTTTCAGTAAGAATGTTTCATAGGAATCAGAGAATTATGCTTCTAATTCACAAATTTTGAAGTTTCGAACCAATCTTCATGAAACATTTGTTTTCTCACGGATTGAATCAGGCCTGGACTATACTTGATCCGAATCCTTATGCTGTGAAGCTAGATAAGATTAGACATACATTAGACTTCATCCATTTTTTCGATACAGCAAGATACCTAAAATGTTCATACCTGAGACAGCAGAAATCCAAACAGCTACGTTAAGAAATGCTCCATTGGATGAAAAATTGATGTTTCTGCTTGTCATTGACCGCGTTATGGTATTTCCGATCCCCTACTTCCAAAAATATAATATCATATATGTAAACTTTGAAAAGAATTGTACATATTTTCTTTTTTATTTTGATGATCCTATCATTCACCGATGTGAAGTAAAACGTACAAAAAAATTTAACAGTAAAACGGATTTTTTGATGTTTAATGTTTCAGCGAGCTCACCGGAGCCTCGTCAGTGTCCTTACCTCGGAAAATTTACAGTGACAAGTGTCAATCGAAATCAACGGAACATTCGCGAGGATCATCATACGTCAGATGATAAAAAAGATGAGAGTCGGATTAGACACTCTGACGATCGTAGAGGACATGCATTCGATTTCGATACTGGAAAAAAGAGGGCTAACAATGAGTATCTGAGACATGAGACGTCCGGGAGAGGAGTAAGGTCAGAAAGAACAAGTCGAGCACATGACTCAAAGGTTGTGAAAAGAACGAGAAGAAAATCTAGATCAGAGGGACTTGATGCGATCAGTAGAACCCGGTGGAGTCCGGTAAATGAAGACTTTAATATTAATCCTGAAATCCTGGGAGGGAGTCACAAATTCTCAGATTTTGAGGATGAATCGACTATGATTCAAATACAGGACGATTACTTTGGTGATTATAAAATAGAGAAACCTGAAAAAAGATCCAATTATCTTTCTTATGAAGACATTTTGAGATTTAGAAAAGATGTTGAAAGTGATAACTATGATGATGACTTTCTCGAAAGAAGAGAAAAACGAGAAGAGGAGAATACAGAATGTACCTCGGAGGTAACGACTTTAAATGTCGGATGTTCAACAGCTGATCGAATGGAATTTCAGAATGACTGTATAGATGAAAATGACGCGATTACCGGTGAGTAGATTTTAAGCAATAGAGCATTAATGTCGTTTTCCAAATCCGCAGAGCGTAACTATTGAAAAATTAGAAGAATTTTGACCTCAAAATTTTTTTGTATTAAGGAGTTGATGACTAAGAACACTTTTTTCTCTAATATGTATAATATGTATTTGTCAGTAAGATGTTAATTATGTGTTCGAGAAAAACTCTGCTATGAATTGTTTTCTGTCTGATTTTTTTCTACAAACTTGAATTTATGAAAGTGAAAGAATATTTCTCCTCTTTTGGTTCAGCTTATTCATGTCATGGAAGATGGTTCGATGCTGAAGGTACGCAGTTTGTGATAGCAACTCCGCTGGCACACAGAACCTCGTGGCCAAATGAAAACAATGAGCCCCAGGCATTTCATAACAGTAGAAGATTGTGCTTCATGTACCGTGAAAATGGTGGTGTCGTCAGTCTGACTGCTAGTACAATCGCATGTCAGAGAGAAATTCTTCCATCGCCACCTATGCTAGCATTTAACGCTACCAGTATCGGTAAGATTTTTTTTTTATACTGAATCCATATTTTTTACAAAAATCAAGTGAAAGATACTGTCTACTGTGGGTACTCTTTTTAATTGTATTTCCAAGATGTTGATGTAACTTGTGTAAATATTTGGGGCATTCCATGTCAACTCGACCAGCCCATGACGTCGATCCCTCAGATTTTTATCGCAATTTTTTATGAGGTTGAACTAACTGCACTTTCCACTTTTTTTCTAGGATTAGTTAGTTAGTAATTTTTTAATTCAAGCTGGAAAACTGGAAAGAAACACCATGCTGTAAAAATTTCAAAAAATTCCCATAATTTTGAAAAAATGAAAATATTTTTTTTTAATTTATAATAACGTGATAAGATTGTCGAGAAACCCATTTAGTAGGATAACTATCATATTGTTGAGGAAATTTAATTTTTTCAGAATTCTAATCATACAGTTCTAGAGCCGTTTCATCCGAATCCAATGGGAAGTTTAAGCAGTCATGATTATGTGATGGAACAATCTCAAACAAAAAAACTTCTTGGGAAAAACTAACTGATACTAACTAAAAACTGAAAACTAAATGAATTTAGTGCCATATGGTTTTAAATTTCCGTTATCTACGGAGATATTTCAAGATCGATGATGAGTGAAGTTCTGGACATGGTCATTTTGTCGCAATAGGGAAGGACCATTAGCTACTTCGAGATAGTTAATATGATATGAAGTGCTGACTTATTTTTTCTATAATTAAATAAGTGTTTGAACTCATTGGAGAAGAATGGACGATCAAACAGAGGATTACACTCCGTGGATGAAATGGGACCATGAGTTGTGGAGTGCTTTTTGGATCTCAGCTTGTTCATACCTTGTTTCGTTTTGTGTTCAATATCTATATGGTCCATTGAAATACTCGACTGGTTATTCAGCCATACATGCTCTAGTATTTCACACATATTCCAATGGTATTCGCTATTATTTAGCATCCAAACTCTCCGTGAATTCTATGACACATTTTCATTTCTAACTTGTGAAAGTTCCTCTGGCTACTGCGACAAATCTTTTATAAATTACAAGATTACCGAAGCTATTGCTCCATTTACAGTTCTGATATATTGCGGTTCGAGCCTGTCCACTTTAGTGCATTCTTTATCCCACCATTTAACTGTATTTTTATGAAGTTTAGGTGAAACTACTCGTTTAAGTAGTATACATCTTGCAAAATTGATTATGACAATATTTATGAAGTATTGATATGCTTCCATTAGCTTCAATTCATCAAAGGTAACAGACAAAAAAAGGGAAATGATGCTATTACTAATTTTTCTAGAAAACCCCAGTTTGTTCTGACTGACGTAATCCTAAAAGATTCCTTGATATACAGGATGTCCCATTTGAAACAATCCACCTGAATATCTCCTGGAAGAGGCAAACGTCAGAAAATGTTCTGAGACAACAGTTGTAGACATTCGAGGTGGATATTTGACGCATGCATTTTTCAGATTTCAAGATCATGTTTGCAAGCTGCAAACATAACCAGCTTTTTTTTAAACGGCAATCACATTTTTTACTCCAATGAAACTTGGTCACCTTGATGAGTTGTTTTCAGCCACCTGACCAGTGATGGCAATCTCTACTATTTTACTCGGAGAATGCGACCCCAATGAGTTCTGGTGTCGAATTGAAGATTTAGACTTTACGTAGTGGTAAAGTTTGCTCGCATCCATTGCGCTAGAAGACTGAAGAAAAAGTGGAGCAAACATGGATAGAGGTGCATGCAATCATGTGTTCAGTATTGCCACCGTTGACTTGCAACCACAATTCAATTCTGCGGCGAAAATTTCCAACAACCCTTCGCAGAACTTGGCGCGTAATGCTTGCAATAACCTCTCTGATATGTCTCTGTAAATTCGCCGGAGTGGTAGGCCGATTCACGTAAACAATATCTTTGAAAAAGCCCCACAGGTAGTGGTGTAAGATCCGGTGATCGTGGAGGTCATAAAATGGGAAGACTCCGATTAATCATACGATTCAGGAAGGCTCTATTCAGATGATCTGATTACACAAGAATTCTAGATAATTCTGACCAGTGGCATTACTATCAAAAAAATATATACCTGTCACTTCCTCATCGACGATACCGCACCACACGTTCACTTTCCAAAAATGCTGATGACCAATGTGTTGAGTCCAGTGAAGTTTTTCCGTGGACCAATAATGACCATTATGCCAAATCAATGAACCAGAACTCTGGAACGTTATCTCGTCACTGATGGCAACGTAGTGGAAAAAATTCAAATCTTCATTCAATCTTTGCAAGGCCCAATTACAGAAGTCAATGCGATTCCATTTGTCTTGTGCGGACAATCTACCAGATCGGAGGATTTTTTGAGCTGTGCTCTATGGTATATCTCAATTTTGTTTGATTTCTCTCAAACTAATGTGCGGATTCATGTGATTCATAGTGAGGATGACAACAGCTCGGGGATCATTAGGATTAACACCTTGTTGTTGTGGTTATCGTCGTCGATAAATTCGTCCTCTCCTACAATTTCGTTCAAAGTTGGGAATGACTGTGTGTGCCGCTGCCTGTCCTGGTTTCTGTAACTCCTTCCTTAGGCACTGTCCTAATACTAGTAAAATATCTACAATTTCCAGAAAGTTACAGGTTCTACTAACTCGATCATGGTGAAATTGAAAATCTTTCTAATAACAGAATTTTCGAAGTAATGGAGAATCCTTTATTATTGATTATATTCTTAAATACCGTTGATGAATGAATTGGCGAAGCAATCATCGTGAATCGTCATTTTGATACCAAAACTCATTTTCGTCGCATTCTTCTAGTGAAATCGAAGGAATTGACATGAATCATGAGGTAAGTGAAAACAACTTACCCTGGCGAAGAGGTTTCATCAAAGTAAAAGATGCGATTAAAAACAGCACCATATGCTTGCAATCTGCCAGGGAGCCTTCATTCTGGAGTGCTCGACGATTCTTTTGGGCAATGCAAGACGTCCGGCATGTTGCTGAGGTTCTTTGGGAGAAGGTATCATGAGGGGGGCGCCATCCATCACGACGATGTCCGTGAATTCCTTGGGAGGGTGGGTCGGAGGAAAGATATTTAGAAGAATGGGTTATCCAACGGTAGCGATATTATATTATTAATGTATTCAGGGAAAAAAAGACGGGGGCTTATAATCGGCCTCGTCATAAGGTATGCAGCCACTAACAACTGTTAATATTTTTTTAATTTTTATTATTTCTTACCCGTATAGCTTTCGCTTTTTATGGTCCTGCTAGAGCCCCCCCCCCCCCATTTTCCAGTTTTTTTTCAGGGGTTCTCTTCTCTCTCTTACAGTACCACGGAATTACTTTTTTCCTAGCAACACTCATTTGTGTTTATACAGAGAGAAACCTTGGAAAACCTCAGTTACGCAGCTGGCCGGTAATGCAGGGATTCACCAGTCGTACTGACTCCATAAACATAGTGGCTCTCTCCATCGGTTTAATAACTCTGATCCAAACCTCAAGAGTATCCTACACTGACCCAGGATTTTCCGGAATTACGATGGCATGCAAATATTCACTTTTGGATTTATGATATGAATTTTTATGCCGGCAAGTTCACCGGTTAGATGGAGATCAGAAAAATACTAGTGACGTTTCAAGAATAGATCTTTTCTTACAATGACAATAATACCTCCACGATAAGTTCACAAGCCTAAAAATCGGTACGATCTCTTATCTTTGATCTTCAGTTTACTCTCAACGCCGATGATGATGACATAGCCTTCCCACACGGAACAAACATATATCCCGAATATATATCTGAGAAACAGCATTTTTGGCCGAAAATATATCCCATATATATCTTTTTGGTATATCAAATGATTACATTATATGAGCGTTAAATATATATCCATAGGTTTCTATTAAATATATCTCGGATACTACATTTTTAGCGGTAACTATATCTGAATATATGCGGATATTATTCAGATATATCTTCAGAGAGATCATTTTCGACGCCGGTTGGAGGGCACATTCAATGTTGTCTCGGCGACTGTTGAAGCCTCTGCTATTCCAGTAGATGATCTTGACGACAGGCCTTGTTTACTCGCTTCTGCAATGAAAGTTATTTACAAGTAGTCAGAAGAGAAGTTTTTTCCCCAGTAAATGATTCACTTCGCCCGAGATTTTGGTCAATATATGTAAACGATTTTCCTTGGCTGAACCGTTGCCGGATATCTTCTTCTGACACTAGTTTGCGAATATTAACACTCACTCAAGGTTAACCTAGAGGTTCAACTGGATCAGTGATGCCAAACATGGAGCTTAATTTTGACAGTTTGGAGTTGACCAAAAAGTTGAATCGACAAAATGTCAATGTAATTGAAGTTTTATTTGTGTTATGTACAGAATAAATCTTGGATTATAGCACCAAATCAGTGGTGTAATCAATTATTGAAGAACTCTCTTTTAGATTGTTTTCCAATTTATTGAAAATTTGCAGTACAATTTTATTAATTTTATTTATAATTTCAGGACAATGTATGGAGGATAATGGCAGTCAATGTGTGCATTCCATTCATCTGCTCATCATGATTTTCGTCACTGTAACACTCCAAGTACTCAGGTGATTCTGATAGTGACCCACTATTAAAAAGGTCTTTAAACAAAAATAGAAACAATTTTTTTAACGGAATATGGAAAATATTCCAATGAGGTTTTTGTGACAGCAGTGCTTCAAAAGTGGCGGAAACCGTGTTTTTCTACCCAAATGAAATAAAAAAATCTCCAGAAGTCAGTCCCCATCGTACTGAAAATTTAAAATTAAGAAAAAAAAATTTCACTAAATAGTTCATATCAAAGGACATGAAAAAATAACACAGAAAATCGTGTGAAACAGCAAGATAATTGCCTATCAAATAAGACAGTGAAAAAGAATGAATAAAAAATTACAGAATATATATGCGAGCTGCTACTGTGGGGTTTTTCACTCGACAGAGAAAATATGAACTCAACACCTGTGACAAGTTTTCGACTTCAGAAAGTATGCAATACCAGATCCAAAATGCGGGATCGTGTGAAACCATACACGAACCATCATTGGAGAATATACATGAAAAGGTCGTATGATCGGCTGTCAATATGTTAATAATAGTAATGTAGATAAGCCAGTAAGTCTAATAGTGAAACAAAAATCATAAGAATCAGAATAGTAAGAATGCCAACAATGAAGAATCTAACACGCGTGCATTAATATGTATGCGTTGAAATGTATTCAAGGTGTATGTGATTGAATAGAATACAAATTCGGAGACGGTAAATAATCCAATAAAAAGAGAGTGTACCTTCGGAAGAATAAATGGACAAGGAAAAATAAGAAAGAATAGTCGAAAGAAGCGGAAAAGGAATAGTCTGAAAAGGATTAAATAAAGCAAAGCTTCCTGGTGATGAGGGATGCATATAATGTAAATTGCTGTAACTGTGATCAATTTATTGCACAAGAGAGAAATGAAATTGCAATCAGAATAAACGAAAATTCGATTTTCAATAAATGTTTTCTTAATTTTGCCTAGCTATTCCGATTCTTCTGTAACAGAAAAAAAAGTTATTCGGATTTTTTTAAAACGCAATTTCTTAGCGCATAGTGCTAAGAAATTCATATTTTTAGTCGGTATTTGGGCTATCCGGAAAAAATTTTGGTAGTTGCTTAGTAGATTCACAACAGAGATTTTACAATTTTCGGGCGGAGAAGCCACGGAATCTAAAAGAAATTAACAGAAATACAAATAAACTTTTGAAATGTGTTGACGAGATCCAAAATTATTATACAACACAGGGCAGCCTTGAATGGATCCCTTGGTTGTCTTGAATCCCTCAGCCTGTCAACTTTTTTGTTTTTGTTGGCACGATGAGTGAGTGACTAACATTTAATACAATACAAATTGAGTATCTACAGGAGAGCAGCGGGTGAATATTACTCATCTCTGTATAACTGAATAGCTTGCCCCCTAAAAAGTTCCCGTGGCGAATGGAAAGACCTCGTCTCCCTAATGCCGAGTACGGTACTCAGATAGGTGACAATGGGCATGCGTGGTCGTGAAGATCAGACATGGACAACCTCTAGGTTGCTCGGAGCAAAGTCATAAATTCGAGTTAGGAATCCAATAAAGTTTATAACCATGGCTACTATAAGGGTCCTCCTACGGCGATAGTGGTGACAGTAGTACGGGGTATTCATAGTTACCGTACCGTTGATCAACGGAAACCGCGAAAAGCTTAGAATTCGGCTGAGTTATTGAATTAAATGTAAGATAACTATTATCCATCGGAAAAAATGAAATTGTTTCGAAGATTCAACTTCCTGAATTAGTGACATTTTTCAACTCGTTTTTCGAATTTTTTGTCCAATGACGACGACCTTTCTGAAAAAAGATATGAAGCAAAAAGTAGCAGTCTCTGCAGTGTTTGCCAACTGATGTTATTTCCTCTTATAAAAAATGAACATTTTTTCAAAAATATTTTTTTTTTTCTTTAATTTTCTTAACTAACATTTTTACTTGAATCAATTTTATTTCTTGAATAAAAATGGTGAGACAACTGGAACATAACATTGTGGAATTAGTTCTTTGCCTCTGGAATTGAACAGGCCTTTTCCACATATTATTTGTAACGTTAGCTTTCAAAATAAATGAAAACGTCTTGGCATGGAAAATTTCAAATTCTCAATTTTTGACTCATTTCCCCGCTTTTTCTTTTCTTCAGCGAAATATCTCCTCTTTTCCTTTTCTTAAACGTTGTGCCCACTTCGATGGATTCCAGCGGACAGAAGGCCCAGCTCGTAAAGACCCATCATCTAATACAATAGGCTTTCCTCTACCCTTTGTTATGCACTAATAGAGGTCGGAGCACGACTTGCCCAGCCCTGATGACAATCGAGCGTAGGGAGCGGTAATATAACGCTTGGAATTCAGAAATACCATTCCTATATTCAATTAAATAAATCACAAAACTCTCGTCCGAATTACATCGTACAGAGTTTTTTCAAATCTATATGGAACTGTTTGATTTTTTTTTGTTTTATCGAGAGTGAAATGCGAAAATGTTGAAAAATATTGTTTTTAAGGTCTGCGAAAATGACTAATGAATCGATTTTGTTATCCAACGTAAAAAATGGTCAAGTTGTTAAAAGGAATACGTCAATTTGGTAGAAACCATATCTTTTGAAGAATATCTTTATATCCAAGAGATAGGATAGGATAGGGCAAGATCTTTAGTCGGGTTTTTCAGTGGTTCTGATTGGACTCTACAGAATATTATTTGAGAGCAAATCTTTTATCTTTCTCAGAAACGGAGATATTAATCGAGGAATCCTTTCCAAGTATACTAAAGTACAGTATCAATTCGTTTGTCACTACTAATTTGATTCTCTTGATTGAGAAGCCAATGTAATTCCTGATGCGATTGAAATCGATTCTGTAAGATCAAATGATGGATTTACAGAATCGATTTGATGAGATCTGCGGAGGAATCTTATTCGACTTCGAAATTTAACTGGATTGCTCAAGTAACAGCAGTAAACACCCAATATAATCATATGGTGATGGATACTCACTCATAAGACGATAAATTTTCCAATTGTCTCTTGTTTGTCTTTCAATAAACATATTGTACCAATGTTGCTCACACAAAAAAAAATGTCATTAACATGATATTCAATGGATTCTCGGGAAAACACAAAAACAACAATCAAACGCGCACAAAGCAAAATTAATTTTTGGTTATGAACCCACAATAAATCGTATATTGCGCTTCAAAGGTGTTAATTTCGTTTTTCACGCGCGTGGAATTTATAACCCGAGCTGACAGTGAATCTTCTCAAAGCGTAATATACTATTCCAGACGCAGTAATGGAGCTACCTGTGTATAATCGGCCAGTTAGTGTACTCAGAAGTTCCCATTATCCATGTTCTCGAAGGCACGTGCATATTTCCACTGAAGCTGGTAACATTCTCGAAGATAACACAGGCTCGATAACTATTACCTAATTACGCCATTAAACAGCACCAACTGAATCGGGCAGTAACAGTTATCCAACGGTTCAGTTGAGAGATTAGAATTGATCCAACTGAATGATGAGGTAATAGTTATTGAATTGCGAGTTGGTAATAGGAGCAGCACGAATCCAGTATGGCTTTCAACTAGATGGCGCTTTGAGTTAGCTGCAATTCGGTAACTATTACAAAATGCTCAGTTGCGTCAAACGGTAGTCGATTCGTGTCAACAGACAAATCGAATGAAATCAAATACGCATAAAATCCCCTAACAGTTGAATTAACTATGCCCGGTTTCGATAAAGGAAGGAAGAAAAAATGCTCGGGCAAATACGTCAGGTTTCGATAACCGAATCCTACTAATAGTGTGATAATCGATGGCGCTGGGGAGGAATTCCGCACTTTCCATGTCAACATTAAACTAATATTGTCGGTCAAGTCGGGTGGAAAACTTGCTTTATTTATGTTTCACTTGAATTGGTTTTCGACTTGTCTTCGCTTGTTGGACGCATAATAAGGGGTTGGGTGAGAATTAAAGTATGGCCGCCATGCATTCAAGTTAGTGCTCCAAAACTCTGAAATTAATTGGAAATCGAAATAAAACTTGGAGATTAAAAATTTAGAATCGATTTATTATTAATTCAGTACTCAAATAGTATTTTTCACGCCTAGGACGGAAAAAGGGAATCTGACTAATGCGACTTTATAGTCCGAGTCGGAGACGAGGATTATAATGCGCATGAGTCAGAATCACTTTTTTCGCCGTGGCTATGATGCTATTTTATGTCATTGTGGCCGAAAACGCGTTTTTATCCGAGCGAAGCGAGGTCAGAAACGCGTTTTACCGGCCGCAATGACATAAATAAATTTAAGCTGTCGAAGTAGTACATTTATACGAAGCTGCAAGGTATAAGGGCTATGCTCTGAATTAGGTGAGCTGGTCATTTTTTGAACTGGACATCAAAGCGCGAAGCCGATATACTGTAATCCTCATCCGTTCCCTTATTTGGCGCGAAATAGTCATTCCTAAACCAGATGAGGCTTCAATTGGGTACAGTTTCTACCCGCTGAAGCCATAAGGATCGGCTATTCAGTTATATAGAGAACAGTAGCGAATATCACTGATCGTGGTTGAATTAACGATAGTTAGAATTGAGATGACGTGCTGTGCTATAATATCGATGACTAACGAATCTCTTCAAAATTGTTTCAATCGTTTATCTCTTTATGAGTTCGTAGTCTTTAAGTGTAAGCACATGTGTTGTTTTTGGGGCCAACAACACCGTCACGTCCTCGTCATCGCCCTAAATAACGCAGCGAGCGGTGTAACTAAAGTGGATAAACGAATTCCAGACCCAGAAATGTAAAAGAAAATGAAAATCTAGAGAATATCGCTAAAAATTCTGAGCCGGACTAGGACAGATTAGCTAATGTGTTTCGACTAAGCCGTTACCAAGTTTTTCCCGGCTACGCTACGCTACGAAAAATAAATCATCTTGGCCCACGTACTGCATTGGCAAACATCTACAAGATGAAAATCATTTAGGCCTGGAATTTACTATCATCAAACAGTATTTCTTTGGTTACTGAAATCAAATAATTCTGTTCACTGGTTAGATCAAATTTAATAAAACAATAAAACGAATCAGAAAATGTCAGTTCTTTGCGTGTGCAAGATTGGAAATATCAATGAGTCAACCAAACGAAACGGTTGAATATCGATTGAATTCATTTGTGGAAATGAAAAATGAGAAACAGTGTATAGACGAAAAAAATCATAGGTAATTTGCGAGGATAGTATTATAACATATACAGAGTTTATATTGTATTATGACTTTTCATCTGTATAATAATTAGATGGAAAAGAACAAAATTCTCACTGAAATACTGCTGAGGATTTTTTAAGAATGTTGAAGAAATTGCAACTTTTTTATTTTAAAACTGAGCGAAAACATTTTTTTACCATTTTTACTGCATCATTAATAAAGTTATTGCGTTAAAGAATAAGTACATTAGTCAACAGGAATCTCTGATTGCAAACACTGTGAATTTGCTGATTAGTCTTCAATCAGTGCCATCAGTCGAAAAACATTTAAACAAACAAGCCTACCTTCAAAAAACAAAAATCCCATCCCTTGTCAGCATGAACTGTAATCAGTCTTGTTGCAGTGTTTATAATTAGATATTTTCCCAGTAATCGAAGACCCCTTCGTTTTAGCCATCCGTCGTTGTATAAACTGCACAAATCTATCTAGTTTTATAGATCCTGTTCAGCAGTGATTCTGAAGAATCTTCATTTCTCATATGCGTCCTCTATATATATATCTCGACATCTATTCCAAGTGAATAGATTTTTATAGGAATTCTATTTGTAACAATAATCACAAAAAAGGTCTTCATAGCGAATTCCATTAGTATGTTTTCGTTTTCAAAGGTTCAAAAAAAATTATAAAAAATTAAACTGGTAATTCGACTTATTATACCACACAACTACTGGTTTCACAAAATAAGTTTTTCAACGCACAATTATCTAGCCAAAACGGTAAATTCTAAGTTATCAGAAGTCATAGACCTAAGACGTAATAAATAGTGTAATTATAGTTGAATAATCAGGTACCTATTTATAGAAAAA